GGTGTATTTTTTTTTTTGGATTTTAAGTTTTAAAATATTTAAAATATAATATATTTTATTTAAAGCCACGTGGATGTATACTATTGGATGTGTGAGCTCCACACACGTGCCACATCAGCCATTTAACAGAAAATTTGATGGAAGCTAATGGTAGGGACCATTTTGATGTGTGGAGGGTAACCTTAGGAACTATTGGTGTCACAAAAAAACGTTAGGGACGAAAGGTGATAATTTTGCAAACCTAAGGGACCATTTGTGATAAAAAGCCTTCATTTTATTCAAAGTTAACAGCCCTGTGTTTCATGTTAAGAGAGAGGACAGGTGTCAGAAGAATAAGGGGGAAACATGGTGGGCACACACTGGTGTCACAAGTCAATTATTCTAGATGAGTATAGCAATTTGAATTATGAACTTAGTAATTTACTAATTTCGTCATGTAATCCACCTATAGCAAGAAAAAAATAAATTGTCAATAAATAATTGACTTGTTTTTATAGTAAAATAATTTATCTTTATATATAGTAAATAGCGTACCATGTAACAATTTAAATAACTAAGTTTAAATACCTATGCAAATGGGTTGCGTTTCAATGTGGAGTTAAATACCTAAATATGAGGTACATATGAGGCACATTAAGTATATAAATGGGTTTCAAATTTTTTTTTATAATCTTCTCCAGAAGATGCTTCATTTTGAGCTCTCAGTATAAGGACCAGCCACCATGACTCAAGTAGTTATGATCATGAAATGGTGAATAATCGACTACTAGTCTAAAACAGCTAATTGTTGAAGAGCAATAGTATGTACTTGTGGTTAAACACATGCTGGTGCCTTTTATTTTAAGAATCATCTTGGCGTTTTTCTCTTACAATTACTAATAAATTATAAAAGGAATATTTATAACATTTCTGCATTAAAAATGTTATGATATATACGTGTGGGTTGGTGTTTGAGGATTCTTTGGAGCAGGGCAGGGTGGTTTGAGTGAGATTGAGAAGAACCAAGAGGAAGGCTTATCTTTTGTACAACGCCATTGATGAGAGCAATGGATCATGGATGATTGTGCCCTTGAGAAATCAGATTTGGAAGCTGAGTATGTGAAGGAGGCAGCGAAAGAGAAGATGGTTCAGCTCAAGGGACATAGATATAGGTCAGTGGGAGGGATGATGAGGGCTTCTATTTATAATGCCATGCCTTTGTCTGGGGTTGAGAAGTTGGTTGCTTTCATGAAGGATTTCCAGGCAAAGCATGCTTAGGGTTTATTAGCGTACACTACTACTAGAGTTGTTAGCATCTTTGGCACATCAAGTTTGAAGGAAAGCAATTTAATAGCAGCAACGCTAATTCAATCAAATGTACACATTTTGTAGCCAATGGATTTTTCTTTTTTCTTTTTAAATAACAGCTTAACAAGAACAAAGAATGAACACATTCGACCAAGTCATACCAATAACAAATTAAATATGTTGAAGAAATATTCTAGAAAAATCCACCAAAGTTTGAAAAACTCCTCCAAAGCCTGGAACAAAAGTCAATACAAATCCATACAACTGTCATTCGAAATTCATGTGGAATCCGAGTCTATATAAATCCATGTAATCCTATCACTTAAAAATAAAGTCCTTCAAAATCCTCTAAAATCCTAATTGGTTTTAGTTCCTCTCAAACCCTAAGTCACAACCCCAACCACCACTCTGCCGCCGGACCACCTCTTGCAGCCGTGCCGTCCATAATTTCAAGTGAGTAGAATTTATATTTTTAATGAAATTGATATATGTAGGTTCAGGGTTTAGGGTTTAGGGTTGGTGGTTTTGTAGATACAGAATTTTGTTTTGGTTTATTTTTTGATTCGTGATTTTGTATAACCTCATTCCCAAACTGATGCACAGCAAAAGACAAATATCATCAAGGTGAAAGCGTGGTATCTGAAGAAACAGCAACAACCAAGATCTGCACATTTACTCTGCATGACAAGCCCTACCTATGAAGTTAAACAGCGCCGTCTCTGTTTCCTCTCTCCGCTTGGTATTTTGAGAATAATTGTATACAGTTAAAGGTTTGTTAACCAGAACGGAACATAGGGTTGTGCATCGACGCAGACGGAAACGGATTGGAGTGTGATAGCTGAGGACAAGTGCAACATGAAGAGCTCAGGGGAGAAGCGGATTCGAGAGGAGATGGAGGAGATTTTATCCAATCCCCCCGACGATTTCAAGTGCGTCATGCTCCCGTGGAACTCATATGAATGGTTCTTTGCAACCAGAGGCGCTCTTGGAACTGAATTCGAGGGTGGCATTTATCATGGGGTGCTCCAGTTTCCCAAGTATTACCCATTGGAGCCTCCTTCAATCATGCTCTTAACGGAAAATGGTCGCTTCAAAATCCAAACCAAGATCGGATTGAACTGGCAGCCATCATGGGGTGTGCGAGAAGCTTTACTTCATCTTATTCGTTTAATGACCACCTACCCCGACGGTGAATTGTGTTCAGTAGAATACAATAAGGAAAAAAGGCGTGCCCTGGCCATCAAAGCTCGTGCAGAAGCCCCAAAATATGGCACTGCTGAAGATCAGAAGTTAATTTATGAGAATCATGAATATATGCTAAGAAAAACAACCCCTCCTGTTCCTCCTCTGAGCCCCTCCCACAGCGGCACAGGGGGTACAGGTGGCACAAGCGGCACAGGCGGCGGCTCCGTCTTCAACATTTCTGAGAATAATTTTTATGCTATCAATTCCAAAGGAGTTGGAATTTTGGATTCTATGAATTAGGCCATCAACGAAGGCGCCAACTCCACGAAAGCAAAACTTTCTTGGTTTTAGTGGCAAAACTAGATGTCTGCCAATAGGGCCGAGTTTTGTATTAGTTTGCATTGAATTCTTTCTAATAGTTGTTTGGGTAATTTGCAGAATATGCAAATCACTACTACAAAAAACACTTTGCGCGACGAATACTAACCACTTTGCGTGACGAATATTAACAATTTTGTGCGACGAATATTATCTACTTTGCGCGACGAATATTATCTACTTTGCGTGACGAAGCTTAACTACTTTGAGCGACGAAAGTTAACGTCGCGCAAATATACTTTGAGCGACGAAATATTCAATTTTTTTAAAATTTTGTTTTTAAATTTTTTTAATTAAAATAAACTAGTTTGAGAGTTTGCGGGACGAAATATTTTGTCGAGCAAGGTTTAGACATTTTGTTTTATTATTTCTCTTATATCAATTTCATTATATTAATTTTTTAAAATTTAATTTAATTGTATGATTTTATTTTTCTTAATTACTTTAATTTAAATTGACATATTCAAAATAAAATTACATATGAAAAATAGTGGTCAAATTATCCAATATACAGAATATTCAAAATGTACACATAAATTAACAAAGTACAATAATAAAATCTACAAGCCTCTTATATCAAATCCTCAACTTTAGCCGTCAAAGCCTCGACAATTCCCTACAAAAAAACAAATACTGTCAAATAACAAAAAAATAACATAAAATAATGACAAAAAATTGGAGAGAGAGAGAGATGAGAGATTAAGTGAGAGGAGTGAGTGTGAGAGAAATGGTAGGATTTGGGGAGTGGGAAAGAGAGAGAAATTGTAGGATTTAGAAGACATTGAGAAAATGGTGGAGGAGTTATTTTGGTTTTAAAGACAGTATCACTTTGCGCGACGAAAAATTATATTGGTTGCGCAAAGTGTTTAAAAAAATTTAAAAAAAATTCCCATTTTTGGTGCCCGCCAAATTTTTAGGGTTTTGCGCGACGAATATTTGGTCACTCAAACTTTTGCGCGACCAAAATATTCCCGCGTCCCATTTTTTGTGCCCGCCCAAATTTTTGGAGTATACTTTGCGCGACGAAACACTATATATTGGTCGCGCAAAGTCGTAATTTTTATTTATTTAAAATTCCCATTTTTGGTGCCTGCCCAAATTTTTAGAGTATACTTTGCGCAACGAAACATTATATATTGGTCGCGCGAAGTCGTAATTTTTTTTATAAAAAATTCCCATTTTTGTTTAACAGCCCAAATTTTTAGAGTATACTTTGCGCGACGAAACATTATATATTGGTCGCGCAAAGTCGTAAATTTTTTATTATTTAAAATTCCCATTTTTGTTGCCCGCCCAAATTTTTAGAGTATGCTTTGCGCGACGAAACACTATAGATTGGTCGCACAAAGTCTTAAAAAAAATTTAAAGCTACTAATAAATATATATACTATTCAATTTCTTAAGTGTTATACGTACAAAATAAAAAAAATTAAAGCTACTCAACGATCCAACCGTCAAACTTGTTTGTTTATACTTCGAGATCATATACGCCAAAATTCAAAAAAAATAAACATTAAGAGATCAATTAATGGCACAAAACATTTCAACGGTTATAAAAGAAAATTCAAGATTTAACGGTTATTTCAACTCTGATTTTGATGATTTTTTACAGCTATACTCCTTGACCCTATATGAATACAATGACTGCATTCGATCGTCCATTTAAACTATTTACACTAGTACATACCACAAAATCTTATGTTATATTTAATAAAAGTATAAATAAACTCTTAATTGTTAGTGAATATATTGTTTTGATGGCATACGCATTCTACGAAACTAGTTTCAACGATCCAACCGTCAAACTTGTTTGTTTACACTTCGAGATCATATACGCCAAAAATCGGAAAAAATAAACATTCAGAGATTAAGTAATAATACACAACTTTTGGACGGTTATAAACGAAAAATCATGATTTAACGGTTATTTCAACTCTGATTTTGATGATTTTTTTACAGCTACACTCCTTGACCCTATATGAATACAATGAACCAATTCGAGCGTCAATTTAAAATATTTACACTAGTGGATACCACAAAAATCTTATCTTATATTTAACAAAAGTATAAATAAACTCTTAATTGTTAGTGAATATATTGTTTTGATGGCATATGTATTCTATGAAACTAGTTTCAACGATCCAACCGTCAAATTTGTTTGTTTATACTTCAAGATCGTATACCCCAAAAATCGGAAAAAATAAACATTCAGAGATCGTATACCCCAGTCAGTCACTCTCTCTCTCTCTCTCTTCTGATGCAGCGTCTTTTCCAAGCAAATAGCTTCTCGGATTGCATAAGCATAAACATCCCAATCAAATCACGGGTCTTCCAAACAAGCCTTATGCTAGTTATTGGTGGAGTAATAGAAAAAAAAAATAGAAGTGAGATTAATGGAAGAAAAACATGGAACAACTTTTTTAAGAGAGATTCACTATTATACTCAATATAGGCCCAAATTTAAAATTAAAAAAAATATATAAAATGAACTTTAGAAACACACTCAAACAGGGACAGACCCAGGATTCCAAATTGGGGCGGGCTAAATCTTCAAGGTACAACGGTATGAAAAAATTTCATATTCAACTCAATGGTATAAGTGAATTTTATTTAATGTTAAACGAAGCAAAATTTACATGTTAAATACTAAATTTCTTGTTGTGAAGAGGCATCGTCTTTTTTTCAAAAAATGAAGAAGAAAAACAAGCCTAAATACAACACAAACAAAAAAAAAAGTATTAAAAACACACTTTCTCTCATCAGCTCATCAGCTCTATTTCTCCCTTTGATCGAAAACATTAGTTCTCTCTTATAATAAAATTATATAGTATTCTTTACCAACAAACAATTATACATAGTTTGTTTATTTTTATACTACCCATGCGTGTCGGCCTGCCTAAACCCGGGGCAAACATTTGTTATTTTTTTATTCCTTTAACCTATATATCATATCTATTTATGAACTTTCGAAGTAAATCCGAATCCGTACCCAGACCTTGTCAGCAAACCAACTACCGACCCTCGCCCCTTCTAGAAACACCAAATAAGAAACGCGTTTTCCCAAAATGGCCAATTATAATCACCTTAGAAAGCCGAAATCCCAGCCCATTGACGAGCCCTAACCTATTCTATTAACTCATCTATAAAAGGACGCCACATCTCCAACCCTAAAAATTATCACGGTTTCCTCTCTTTGGGCGCCGCACTCTCCTGTTCTGCATCCTCCGCTTCTCGACTTGGCTTTCTTGCACTCTCTACCCTTCCGCTTTCATCTCATGCCCGATTTCCCCTGTTCAGTTCTTTCTCAGCCAAATAGACATCTCTAGACTATTTCTGTCCAACTCTCAAACAGTTACAGCTTTCCTCTTCTTCTGTGTCACTGTAAGTAGTGAGAGCCTTGAACTTCAAATCCTTCCAGGCTTTTGAATTTTCTCTGAAGAAATAGCAACAAGATATGCATATTTACACTGCTTGACAAGACCTACGAAATTAAACACTGTCGGCTCTCTTTTCTTTGAGAATAATTAAACACCGCCGGCTCTCTTTCCTCGTATTTTGAGAAGTATATATTTGAAGTTTTGCTAACCGGAAGAGATGGTTGTGGTGGATCAAGTCGGATCGACGCAGATCAAACAAAATCAAATGGAATTGGATCGCTACCCAGCGATGAAGCGGATTCTAGAGGAGTATAGTGAGATTGAATCCAAACCCTCCGACGATCGAGTCGGATCGACGCAGATCGAACAAAATCAAAGGGAATTGGATCGCTACCCAGCGACGAAGCGGATTCGTGAGTTTGAATCCAAACCCTCCGACGTTCGAGTTGGATCGACGCAGATCGAACAAAATCAAATGGCATTGGATCCCTACCCAGCGATGAAGCGGATTCGTGAGATTGAATCCATACCCTACAATCCCTACAATCCAGTCAAGCGTCAGGTCGAAGAGCTGAGGCTGTACCTTTTAGAGGAGTATAGAGCGATTCAATCCAATCCCTCCGACGATTTTTACTGCCGCACGCTCGAGCGGAACCCATATGAATGGCAATTTGGAATCAGAGGCGCTAGTGGAACTGAATTCGAGGGTGGGATTTATCATGGGCGGATGCAGTTTCCGAAGCAGTACCCATCAAAGCCTCCTTCATTAACGCTTTTGACGGAAAATGGTCGCTACAAACCCCACAACAAGATCAGGATAAGGCGACTGAATGATTGGCAGCCATCATGGGGGGTGCGAGATGCTTTATATGCACTTATCGATGAAATGCCCACCTATCCAGATGGTGAATTGGGTTCAGTAGAATACAATAAGGAAGAAAGGCGTGATCTGGCCATCAAATCTCGTGCAGCAGCCCCAAAATATGGCACTTCTGAACGTCAGAAGTTAATTGATGATATTCATAAATATCTGCTAAGCAAGTCACCACCTGTTCCTCAACTGAGCCCCTCACGGGCCTCCAACGGCACAGGCGGCAGCTATGTCGTCAACGGCGGCTATGTCGTCAGTGGGAATACATTTCATGCTATCAATTCCAACGGGGTAGGAATTTTGGATTCTATGAATGCCTTCTCCGAAGGCCACAAGCTTTTACCTTCTTTGCTAAAACGTTTTAGGTGGAGAAAGCAAAACTAGACGTCTGCGAACACGACCAAGAGTGATGAACTGAGGTGATAAAGTCTGTAGCGTAGCTTCTGTCCTGTAGCTGTAGTAGTAAATTGAAATTGAAAATGTGCATTCTAGTTTAATGAATATTCTTGGCTCTTCTTGCATTTATTCTTCTTTCATGTCAAAGTTAAACCTCTCTGCTTCTAGTTAATGAATACCCAAGGCCTTATTTCGATGGATCCAAGTAGAAAAATCTTTGGGCAATGAATACTCAAATATCCTGTCTGGTACTGCTACTTTTTTAGTCAAATAAAATTAGTAATATCGCCCGTAGGGAGGGAAGCAGTTGGTTAGCTGGAGCAGCTAGTTTCCGTGCAAAAAATTCTCTACAATCTTCACTTGTGTGGTTACGAAAATAAGAATATTGAGAAAAGAGAAGTCGCTGATCCTGAAGCATCACTCGCTCCGGATGCTCGGTACGCTTGTTGCCATTTCTTGCATTATTATATAAAGTGTGCATAAATTAGAAATTGCAATTGACAATCCAGGAAAACCACAGGTATCAGAGCCTCCATTTCACCTATTTGAGTAATAAAAACAATCAGACATTCCAATATTACTTGTATAAACATGTCTCACTAGGTGATTCGCCGGTGAATATGAAAAAGGGCAGACGACTTTGACTGTTACATCAGTCTATAATAAAAAAGGAACAGCTTCACTCCTTCTGGTTAAACACACGTTGGTGCCTTTTATTGGCAACTTTCCCATATAAGGTGAAATGAGACTGTCACCATCCACATCCAATTAGTTTGAAGGTGCATCACAAATGGGCTGTTACCGACTTTAAGTACTTGTTTAGGGGAGCTTCTATAATGAGGAGACTATGTGAGGAGGTTATTTGAGGAGGCCCATCTCACCATCAAAAGGGGTGTGGACCCCCCAATGCCCCCCCCCATGTCATTTGTTTTTAGTTGTTGATGGTGAGATTTCACTTCCTCAAATAACCTCCTCACTCAACCTCCTCATTCTAGCCTTTCCACTTGTTTAGTCCTTGATTCATATAATTAAATATTTTCAATTCAGAGAGATGGGAAAAGATTAACATTGGAACTTGTTGAAAAGATTCATATAATTTATATTCTCATAATACCTATAATTATTTTATCCAATGCAATTAGGTCTACATAACCTAGTTTGGTATTGTTGCGTTGCGTATATACGTGAAGTTTGCTCTTGTCCCATTCCTACGTGCGAACCAAATACTTCTAAAACAATACATTTTGCTCTTAAGAAACAGACACTTCAATTTTGGTAGCCCAAATTGGTAGGCTGGTAGTATTTTAGGGTTCTCCTTCGGTCACAAAATTACAGTTTATAATCAAATATTCATCTCAGCAGCAGCCTACATGATGTACAAATAGATCGATCGTGAAGCTTCAATGTGTTGGGATGAAAGTAATAGGCGAATAATGCCATATGATTACGGAAGAAGAAGTCTTAAATTAAAGTTGTCTGAAATTTATTTCATTAAAAGTGATAAAACCTTGGGTTTAATCAGTGGAGTATAGCTCAGTTGGTCGAAAGCCCTAGACACCGAATGAATATTTGTGTAAACCCCCTCCCACAGTTGCTTGTACTAAAAAACAGAAAGAAAAATAAACCTTTGGTTTAATTCAAGAATTAGATAAAGGTCATCATAATCGAGCAAAATTTTTTGGTCACCTTGTTATTGAATTCCTTGGTGGTAAAAAGTATAGGCTTGAGTTCGGGTCTAATGAGAATGGGCTAGCAAGATGTTTTCAGCCCAATGCCTGAAGCCACTCTTACCAGGGCCCAACACCACACAGTGTGTACATTACTACAACCGCCAACAGGCTCAAATATTAGCACAGTCCAAATGGCAGACCCAAATATTTATAAGCTTTTTGGAATACATGAGCTGAGATGAGAGAAAAATTGAAATGACTCAACGATGATGGCGGTGAAGACAAAATTGGACTTATGATGCTGAATTCTGTTTTACGATCATATATTCCATGCTAGTTCAGTAGATGATGAGGTCAGGGATTTGTTCCAAAAGTGCAAAGCTACATGCCAAAACATATGATCAGCTTCAGCAGCATCACATACCACATCAAAATTCTTGCTTCTTGTAACAAATACCATGACTTGAATGAGTACCTGAGAGGGACTAACATGACTCATGCAGTTTTCTTATAGGTTCTCAAAGAACTTAATGGGTTCTTGGTTTTCTAAATCCATTGCTTGAGAGAGAATGAGTTGTTAATTGAGAATACTTTTGGTTGAGCCTGAGAGGGGATATCGAATGAATTAAGAGAAACCAACTGTCAACATTGATAGTAATTAGAGTTAAATGGCTATAAGAATTAAGTAGAATTGGTTATGGTGAAATCATATGCTCTAGTGTCTCATCAACTTGATTTTCCATCATTAATTAAATTGCTATTTTTCATAATTGGTTTGGTTTACTTAAATCAATCAATCTTCTTAATCATTTCAAATAAACTTTTGAATTAATCATAATTGATAGTTAATAGGAAATTATAGTATTCGTGGGAACGACTATATTACTTGTGTGGATTGTGCGCTTACAATAGAGACGCGGTGCTCACGACACCTCCAAATGGTGAGGCACAGATTGCCCACACCCATGTCTTTGGTGCGGCACAGCTGCACTGCCCCCACACTGACTGATGCTCTCTCTCCCTTAGAGCACCTCTAGCGCTCCCATTTTGCCCAAGCAAGAGGGGGCCTAGTGCAAGGGCTTGGCTCCAGCAAGCAACAGCAAGATTGGGCAGTTGGTGGGCTCCACAAGCCTGGGCTTGATGACGTCATTGATGACATCAGCAACGAAAAAAAAACTTAAAAATACCAAAATTTTCAGAATTTATTTTTAAAAATAAATGTCTAGTCATATTCTTCACTTCCCATACCAAAATTAATGATTTAAGTATAAAAAATAGAAAATAAATTAAAGTGAATAATAATTGTCCTTGCCCTTACCTTTTGAAGTAGAAACAAAAAAGGCAAGGACTGCCACTATTCACCTAAATGGTGACAAACCTTGTCTTACCTTTGCCTTGTCTTGCCCTTCGGGGTAGAGGTGCTCTAAGACCCATTTGCCATGGCAAAAGGTAAGGGGAGGCAAGGGCTATTACTATTCATTTGAATAGTGGCAGCCCTTGCAAAAGGCTTGTGGTGTTTCCACTCATTGTTATGACAACCAATATTCACAAGAGATATGAGGAGATGAATTTGTATAGAATTTTGGTGTGGGAAGTGAAAAATATGACTAAGTATTTATTTTAAAAATATTCTGAAATATTTAGTATTTTTTTAAAAACAATTAAATTTTTTATTTATTGCTAACGTCAGTATACCCAGGCTAGAGTAAGGGCCGATTTCGCCTGAGGGCCAATCCAGGCTTGTGGAGCTCACCAACAGCCCTGGCAGCATTTGTCCTTTGAAAGCCATTTTTGGGCTTAGGGCCCCCCTTGACCGGGGCCACTGGAATCGCTCTTATGTAGACAAGTGCAGCGACCAGCTGCCAAGAGACTCACCAACAGCTCCATGTGCGTAGCAAGGAAGTCATCACTTTTGTTGACATTAAGTACCCATCCACTTGGAAACAATAAACGAAGTTTCTTTCACGCATGTTGTGGTACACATGTCACCAACAAATTAGACTCCTCCCATAAAATAATGCCAAAACCACCGAAAACATATTTGAGTCAAAGGTTCATTTGCTCCTTAATTTGCTCTACCACACCAATAATCAAAGCTTTCCCACTTGTTTTGCTGCATGTTTCCTCTTGCCTTGTCCAATTGTTAATAAATAACTCTATCAACAAACCACAACTTTCGGCTGCATGAAAGGAAAGAATACTCTTTTCCTTTCTCCAATGTGGTCGACACAAGGTAAAAGCATAAACAATAATTTGGGCCAATGTACAACAAAAACCACTCTACTTGTTGAGGCAATTGTGCTGTATCCAAGTAAAAAAATCTTTGGGGCTTATTTTGATATCATGTCTGATACTTTTTTAGTCAAATAAAATTAGGGATGTATTCAATCAGGATTTTAATAGATTTTTTTGAAGCTTAAAAGTCTAGCAGTATTTAATTATGATTTTTAAGTAATCAATAAAAATCTGATTGTATTCAATTAAGATTTTAAAATCATCAATACAAGTCTGGTGCTATTTAATTAGGACTTTTAAAAGATTAGAAAAAGTATGGTGGTATATAAAAACTTACCGATTTTGAGGAATATAATTAAATAATGTATTGTGTGAGACTTTTGAGTGAGTTATATAAATACCAAACCCCATAACAAATCTCACCCTATTATATCTGATTCTCACATGGTTTTGTTTTGGGAGAAGATGAACAAACACTTGAGAAGATAAGGTACTGCTTCCCATATTTTTTATGATTATTATCTCTTCACATGCTTGTTATATGCTATCATACCCCTTTTTTGTCTCTATTTGTATTATCTATATGTTGCTTTGTTGTGGGCACAAGTCTACATACATCCGTTTTTATATCTTTCCACTTTGCCAATTTATCAATTTATAATACAGAGTGTGGAAGACAAAAAGATGAAGAAACCAATCTTTAGGATTGATAATTTTGGTGTTTTTGGTTTGTTTGCGCACTGCCTCAATCTTTAGGATTGATTTTTCTTTTTATTTGGCATTTATTTCATAAAATAATATTTACTTTTGTAAAAACTGGAGAATGATGATTCGAATAACTATAGAGCTTTGTTTTGTTTACTTTTGGTCCTCTAGCCCCACTTGGAGAAGTAGGAGAAAAGGACCCTCTGTGCTACGATAGTCAACAAATTCAATCGACCACTTTCTTATGTTCTGTTCTTTATATAAAACCTAAATGTGAACTCACTCATATAAAAATTCTGATAAAAACCCAAAGATGACCTCTAAAACATGAAAAATAATCAAAGGTTTGCATACCAATCAATTAATGAAAGTTTATCAAGTTATATATGCAATGGTATTTATTACATACTAATAAAAGTCTAATATTTACTTTTGTTCGCTCAGATTGGTGTATCATTATAAGAACATTGAAGCATACTTTATTTGCTCAAGAGTATGCAGATAACTACATATCACTAAAATTTTGAATAGATTTATCAAATCCAAGAGCAACAAAGAGAGGATGCTAACACATGGAGAGCTAGCATAGCTTCAGCTACGTGGAAAGATGCTATCTAGGTCATATGAGGAGATGAAGCTCCAAAAAATGTTTATTATGCCTTGAATAACTTTTGTTTTCCTTAAGCCATCTCTAGTTGCTACATGACGTTATAGTTATTACTTTTATCATTTGGTTATTTATCCATGTGGCATAATTAATCCACATTATTTGTATAATTTTAATTTCATATGAAATCCTATAGCAACTCTTTTGATTCTTTTTACTTCATCCTTTCGCTGCTATGTTGTGGGGATGTCAAGACTATATAAACAAAAACTGGGTTTGTTCTATCCATCATGTATATGGTGAGTGCAATATGGTGGCGGATAGATTAGCTGAATTGGATTCATGTCTTGAGTTGGGTCTGTCAACCTTCCATGATCCTCCTGATAATATTAGGTCTTTTCTTAGTGAAGATTTACTTGGAGTTTGTAGGCCTCGAGCCATTGTTTAATTTCTTTGTTGGCCGTTATCCCCGTTTCTTCACCCCAAAAAAAAAAAATCTTAAGTGAATCATAAGTAAAATCATGTAATTACAATCTATTAAAATCATAAGTAAAATCTTGTAATTACAAATTCTGCTAAAATCCATTACATTAAAATCCTGTGATTACAATTTATTAAAATCGCAATTGAATACACCCTCCTTAAGCCATCTCTAGTTGCTACATGATGTTATTGTTATTACTTTTATCATTTGGTTATTTATCCATGTGGCATAATTAATCCATATTATTTTTATGATTTTTATTTCATATGAAACCCTATAGCAAATCTTTTGATTCTTTTTACTTCATCCTTTCATTGCTATGTTGTGGGGATGTCAAGACTATATAAACAAAAACTGGGTTTGTTCTATCCATCATGTATACGGTGAGTGCAATATGGTGGCGGATAGATTAGCTAAATTGGGTTCACGTCTTGAGTTGGGTCTGTCAACCTTCCATGATCCTCCTGATATTATTAGGTCTTTTCTTAGTGAAGATTTACTTGGAGTCTGTAGGCCTCGAGCCATTGTTTAATTTCTTTGTTGACCGTTAGCCCCGTTTCTTCACCCAAAAAAAAAAAAAAAAAACCTAAGTGAATAATAAGTAAAATCATGTAATTACAATCTATTAAAATCATAAGTAAAATCTTGTAATTACAAATTCTACTAAAATTCATTACATTAAAATTCTGTGATTACAATATATTAAAATCGCAATTGAATAAACCCTCCTTAGGGCGACGCACGTCTATAAAAAGATGCCACAGTCTCTAACCCAAAACATTTTCACGCTTTCCTCTCTTTGGGCGACGCACTCTTTCATTCTGCGATCTCCGCTTCTCGACTTGGCTTTCTTGCACTCTCTACCCTTACGCTTTCATCTCATGCTAGATTTCCCCTGTTTAGTTATTTCTCAGCCAAATATGTTGGCGTGACTTGTGGACTATTGACTTACTTTCCTTAAACACCAAGAATTCCTATTATAATTGTGATTGATTTACTTTAATTCCTGATTTTCTACTGTAAATAGATTTAGGAATTTATTATTTACTTGCCCATTCAGGTTTCGTTGTATTATAAATATGACCTCCTACAAGGAGAAGAATACACAGAAAATTTCCACAAACAAATGTTCTCATATTAGGTTTCATATTTTAGCATGGTATCCTGAGAATATCCCTGAGGTAACTACTCCTCTTACACTTGTGAATTTAGAGGATAAATCTATTGGATACCAATTACCTTTCAGGAAAAATCGTGGGAAGCCACCAAATCGTTATTCACTTGATATTGGCAAGACATCCAAGTATCAAATTGTAAATCATGTATCCACTGAGAAGCTGTCTGAACCACTCAAGGCTTTTGTGCATCAGTTGTCTGCTATCCATATTCCAACCAAGTTCTCTGAAGCATTGAAAGATCCTAAGTGGGTGCAAGCTATAAAAGAGGAGATGAAAGCTCTTGAAGAAAAAAAAAAAAATCAAACTTGGACATTGGAGACTACACCACGAGGAAAAAAGACTGTTGGATGTAGATGAGTGTTTACTATAAAACACAATGCAGATGGATCTATCGAGCGATACAAGGCAAGACTTGTGGCAAAAGGGTACACACAGACCTATGGGCTAATTTGGATTGGCCACTACACCAGTTTGATGTAAAGAATGCTTTTCTACATGGCAAACTCACGGAGGAGGTGTATATGGACATTCCTCCTGGATATAATACTACTCAGACTGGAGCAGTATGCAGGTTACGAAAAGAATTGTATGGATTGAAACAGTCACCACTTGCATGGTTTGGACGGTTTACCATGGCAATGAAGAACAATGGTTTCAAACAAAGCAACTTAGATCATACTCTGTTCTTGAAACATCGAAAAGGGAAGGTAACAACATTAATAATCTATGTTGATGATATGATTATTACTGGGAATGATAAACAGGAAATATCACAACTACAAGATTATTTGGCTACTAAGTTTTAGATGAAGGATCTAGGTGGACTCAAGTATTTCTTGGGAATTGAGGTGGCTCGATCGCAGCAAGGCATATTTCTCTCTCAAAGGAAATATGTCTTGGACTTGTTGACAGACACATGAATGCTAGATTGCAAACCTGCGGACACTCCTATTGTTCAGAATCATCATCTTGGAGAATATCCAGATCAAGTTCCAACTAACAAAGAAAGATACAAAAGGTTAGCGGGAAGATTAATTTACTTGTCTCATACTAGGCCAGACATTGCTTATGCGGAGCATCGTCAGTCAATTTATGCATTCTCCGAGTAAAGACCACATGAATGCAGTTATTTGGATACTTAGATATTTGAAGTCTGCACTTGGAAAAGGACTTATGTTCTAAAAACATGGTCATCTGAATATTGATGGTTACACAGATGCAGATTGGGCAGGAAGTATAACAGATAGGAAATCCACATCGGGTTACTTCACATTTGTGGGAGGTAATTTGGTTACATGGAGAAGTAAGAAACAGAAGGTGGTCGCCTTATCCAGTGCAAAAGCCGAGTTCAGAGGTATGACCAAAGGAATTTGCGAACTCATTTGGTTAAGGAGGTTGCTTACTGAACTTGGGTATATACCTACATCTGTAATGAATCTCTTTGTGACAACAAGGCTGCAATAGCTATTGCACAGAATCCAGTTCAACATGATCACACCAAACATGTTGAGGTAGATTGACATTATATCAAACAGCAGCTCGAAGCTAAAGTGATTCAGTTTCCTTTCGTAAAGTCCGAGGATCAATTGGCGGATATTTTGACAAAGGCAATTTCCAGTAAAGTGTTCCACAATTCACTGGACCAGTTGGGCATTGGCGACATCTATGCACCAACGTGAGAGGGAGTGTTGGCGTGACTTGTGGACTGTTGACTTACTTTCCTTACACACCAAGAATTCCTATTATAATTGTGATTGATTTACTTTAATTCCTGATTTCCTACTGTAAATATATTTAGAAATTTATTATTTACTTGCCCATTCAGGTTTCGTTGTATTATAAATATGACCTCCTACAATGAGAAGAATACACAGAAAATTCCCACAAACAAATATTATCATATTAGGTTTCATATTTTAGCAAAATAGACATCTCTAGACTAGTTCTGTCCAACTCTCAAACAGTTACAGCTTTGCCTCTTCTTCTCTGTCACTTTAAGTTGTGAGAGCCTTGAACTTCAAATCCATCTAAGCTTTTGAATTTGCTCTCAAGAAACAGCAACAAGATCTGCATATTCACTATGCATGAGGAGCTTTGCTTACAAACATAGCCGGCCATCTTTCCTCCTCTCTAAGCTCGTATTTTGAGAATATTTGTATATATTTAAAGTTTTGTCAATTGGAAGAGGTCGAGTCGGATCGACGCAGATCGAACAAAATCAAATGGGATTGGATTGGGAGACGACTAGTCAGATAGTAGAGACAGATTATATCCAATCCCTCCCATGATTACACGGTCCGCATGCTCGAGCCACAAAATATGTCACTTCTGAACGTCCAGCTGTTCCTTCTCCTCAACTCAGCCTTGTGCCCTCACAGGCCTCTAACGGTACAGGCGGCGGCTCTGTCTTCTACAATGTTACTGGGAACACAATTCATGCTACCAATTCCAGCGGGGTTGGATTTTTGGATTCTCTGTATCAGGCCCCTTCATCAGGGACGGAGGCACATTGGGACCAGTGTGGTCCCAGACTCAGTTTTTATTTTTTCTTTTAAATTTCTAAGTGTAAGTGAGTTTCCATTGATGCCCCTTATAATTTTTTAAGAGTGTAAAGTACCTACATGTGGCCCTACCTAGTGTGGTCCTGAACTTCTATTTGAGAACCGCAGACGAGGACTCAACTTGCGCGTCTTCTCTCCTCCCTCCAGAACAGCTGTATTGTGTTCTTGAAGAACACAAAGGACACAATATCTCCCTCCAAAACTAGGGTTTTGGTAAATATTTAATTTAGATGACCCAGAAATTATTATTAATCAGATATGGGCTTTGAGTTTATTAATTACATATAGTTGTTGAAAATCTTGTTCCAAGTTATGCTACAGTCCTACGACAATCTTTTTTTGCTTGGGTCACCTAATTCAGATGCTCATGTTGAAAATATGTTCTATAAGTTTTGCTTTGGTTGTCAAATCTCTCCAATTAGAGCAAACAATTGCTCTTTTCAGCCATTAGATTAAATTTAAATGACTTACAAAAAGAGAATTCCCTTGACTTAATAATTAAAGGGTATTTTAGGGATAATGGTGGGTGGATAAATAGGATTGTGTTTTTTCAAATTTACATGACGAGTGGGAAGATAAGTTGATTGGGGAAGTAGAAGCGAGGGGTGAAAATACAGCACTCAGTTTAAATACCTAGGCAATGTAAATGGGTTGAAGTACAATTTGCATTTCAATGTGGAGCTAAATACCTAAATATGGACGTAATACCTACAACATAGGTTGAGAAGCAAATAACATATGTAAGAAACAGAAGTACAACCAAACTCATTCGAGCATATATCATACCTACAGCATATAATGTGAAACACCAAAGAGCCAAAATCGTAAACAAACAATCATCTTACCATTTTTAGAGCATTTCTAGTAGGCTCTGTATCCTCTCATCTCTAGCTACTTTGGCTCAAAAGAAGGAAAATCCTCCTTCTAGCAAACTCCCTACTTGGCTCTCTATTTTGGAGAACCAACTTTTGACTCTCTACATCTAGCAAGGAGGAGAGAGTCACAGACAAAACCAGCTGATATCTGTTGCGTAAAACCGCACCTTCAAATTTCCAATAGGTATTGTTGCCCAACACAATCTCCAAAAATCACGCATGTGCTGTTCTTTTCTTACACTCTACGTACAATGGCTGTAGTAGTTTACATTTTCTAGACATTGTTGATAAACAATAGTTCGACGTTACAAAATAATACAAGATTTACTTTGAAAAGTGGAAAAGTAGTTGACAACAAGACTGGAAATTTAGAGATCACTAATAAAGAAGAAGATGAGGTCATGACAGAAACATGGCAGCAATTTGACAAGAAATTTGAGGGCTCTTTGAAATTTGAAAGTGACAACACTCCTGTTAACAAAGTTTCCGAATCTTTGATGCATGTCCCTCATACTCCAAACACAGCAACTCACGGTATAAGTAAGGCATTATGGAGCAATTTAAGAAGGTGCAAATTAATATTCATTTGCTGGACGCAATCAAATAAATCCCTTCATATGCAAAGTTTTTCAAAGAAATTTACGCCAACAAAAGGTGATAAACCCAATTTTTGGGTCAGCTAGTTACCATGGGCCGAATTTTGGTACAACACCACATTCAATAGCAGCATACGCATGGCAACCTTCCAAGCTTTATATGGATACCCACCTCCTTCAAATTTCAATCACAGCCTATCTTCCAGGGACAAGTGATATGTCCATCAAGTAGATGTGGCCCTCAAGGACCGTGACCAACTACTTAACCTCCTCAGTCCTGAAGCAAAACATGCAGCAAGCCCAGAACCGATGCAGAGGAGCTCCTAGAAATAGTATCTAATTAGAATAAGTAATAGTCCATGAGCTAGGAATTAGCTGGATCAATATTCTGTAGCAGTATTTATTGACCAATAGTTCTCTTTTGAAACGGTCAAGTCGATGAATGAATACTATTTTATTTTCTATAGTAAAATAATTGACCTTTTTTTATAGTAAAATAATTGAGCAGTAAACAGCTTACCATGTAACAATATAGCTATATATTTTTGAACAGTCATTTTTGGGACGAGGTGTTGCAGTCTTGGGTTTTTTTAATGGAGATTTGGTATGTTGCAGATGAGCTTGAGGGTCTTTGAAGGACTGTGGGACCAGGCCATCGGCAACAGTTGCTTAAGATATTTGTGGACCAGGCCATCTAGGCAGGGGTTACAGTAGGAGGGGAAGACCTTGTTGATTAATCTTGTGAGATCTGGAGGACCAACAAGAGTTGTTGTTTTGGGGCAGTTGGAGTTGCAGCAGGAGACCTTACTCTTTTGATATTCAGTTGTGGAGGTGAACAAGTATTGCTGACATTGACATGGTTCCGGCATGTTTTCAGAACTGAACTGATATACACTTGCACCAGTTTTTTCATCTAAGAACGACTACGGATTGAAAGATTTTGAGTCGATGAGAGGAGATTTGGATCAAGTATATAGAATTAAAGTCCAGCTAAGCCCTACCGCGTGTTTTATATCATTAAGAAAAAGTAGCTCACGCACGTATCAAACTATAGAGTTTTCGATTTTAAAACTAAACTAGAGTTTTTGGTATTTAAAAAAAAGGGGATTGTATCTCAACTCAGGTAGTTAAAAACCGTCTGTCATGATAAGGTTTGCTTTTTCTGCCTTCATGAAGTTGATGTTCAGAATGGATTTCATTAATTAATTGTGGGTGTTTTGTGTGTTTAATTTTCCACGCGATTTTATTATTTTAAATACAACCTTGACAAAACTTTCCATAATTAATAACCCACTACCATTGATTTTTCCATTTGCTTTTCCTCTCTCTCTCTATATATATATATAATTTTATTATTATATAAAATAAATAAATAAAAGCTTCACAAAGTACAAATATCAAGCAATATATACTATATAGAGAACATGCATAAATCAGTATGAAAATTTCAAATAGGACTAATATCACGTGTTGATCACCCCTTGTGTTGCCGCGGCCTTGCATAATTTCAAGTGAGTATAATTTCTATTTTTTAATGAAATTGACATATATATAGTGTTTTTTTAGAATTAGAATTTATTAATATGATATTAATATTGATTGATTATTATTTAGATTAGAGTCTATAATTGACTGATATTAATAATGTGTTTGGAAATTATCATGCAACTGTGGGCAATTGTTGTTGAATGTGAGTGAACAGCAAGAAGTTTGTATATGCAAATTTTTATGAAATTCTTGTCATGTGGGATGAAGTATGCACCACAACAAGAATTTTATAGTGAGAGCCTTATATATGGCCTTTAAGTGATGTCTTATCTATTTAACGTTGGATCAAATTGGTTAGTCGTTGAATCAAATTAGTTAGTCTGATACAATAATTAAAAGGTATGACCTCACCTCAGGCAAGGGCGGAACCAGAAATTTTTCAATGGGTGGGCTAGCTAAAGTTATTAGCTTAAAATCTAATGATAAATTTTGTTGTACTTACATTTTCTATAGTTTTTCTAGAAATAAAAGTACACATTAACTGTGAACACAAGAAAAAAAATGAAATTAAAGCCATATTATTCACGAAAGGGTGAATTTCATTTAGAAAAATGCTTCTCTTTTGGAGACAAATTAATAGAAATTTTTTTAAATTGATGTTGGGATAAACTTTGACACCAAATACAAATGTGGAAGATCTCTTAGTATGCATATTAGTGTTGAAATTGTATATTTATTTATTTATTTATAGTTAAAATATTAGACTGTATGTATATTTAATTTGTCTTTTTCCTAAACCGTCCCTGGGTTACAGCCAAGGGCAGCTCTTGCCTTGGTTCCGCCCATGACCTCAGGGCCATATATAAGACTCTCACTATAAAATAACTAGTATGTAACAAGTGTGAAACTGAAAGATCAAGATCATTGATTAACAGTGTACACAAGCCCAAGCTCTATTCAAAGTCTACTTGCTACACTTACCCAAGCACAACCCATTATAATTTCTTACCATTGCAGAGAAACTTCTAGAAACAGTATCTAATTAGAATAAGTAATATTCCATGGGCTAGGAATGAGCTGTAACTCTTATCTTACTCTCTGTATTTAGTTCAACTGAATAACACTTCAATGCACACTAATAACACTGTTTTACTGTTTTGCTATTCCATGCAAGTCTATTTTTCACAAGTCAACGAATGAATATTATATCCTTTTCTGCCTATCCTCTTTTACTTCTGTGGACTCTACCACAAACAGTTACAACTTACTTCTTCTCAGTCACTGTATGTAGTGAGAGCCTTCAACTTCAAATCCATCCAAGCTTTTGAATTTGCTCTGAAGAAGCGGGAACAACCCAGATCTGCATATTTACTGGGCATGACGAGCCCTGCCTTTTGTTAACCGGACGGAAGAGTTGTGGATCGAGTCGGATCGACACAGATCGAACAAAATCAAATGGAATTGGATCGGAGTTGGTAGCAGCGGAGGACACGTGCAACATGGAGAACCCAGTGGAGAAGCGGATTCGAGAGGAGTATGGTAAGCTTGAATCCAATCCCTCCCACGATTTCATGTTCCGCAAGCTCGATTGGGACTCATATGAATGGCAAGGTGCACTCAGAGGCCCTTCTGGAACTGAATTCGCGGGTGGGATTTATCATGTGCGGCTCCTGTTTGCGAAGGAATACCCATGGGAGAAACCCTCATTCATCTTTTTGACTGAAAATGGTTCCTTCAATATCAAAACCAAAACCAACGCAAGATTAAACTGGAAGCCAACAAGGAAGGTGGAACAGGCTTTTCTTGAACTTATTGAGTTAATGCCCGAATGCCCAGATTTTAAATCGGATTCAGAAGAACACAAGGACAAAAGGCGTGATCTGGCCAAGATATCTAGTGAAGCAGCCCCAATATTTGGCACTGGTGCACGTCAGAAGTTAATTGATGTGAATCATCAATATATGCAAAGCAGATGTAAGGTCAGCAACCCCCCTGTCAATTATTTTAACTTCTCCTCCGTTCTCTCTTGCTGCAACCCTTTATTTTTATTTTTATTTTTTATTTATTTATCTGTACAGGCTTATCACATTCATATACTACATTGAGAGAGGTGAAGCTCACCAATACAAAATCTAATATAAATGTAATATGTCTAGCATTTTCCATCTTTCTTTAGTCTATCTTCCAAAGCTGGTAAAGTGTTTTTCCAGTTTCAATAGTTGGTGAATTATCTAGATAAATGAGCGAGAGAGCCAAGCCGAACAATGAATACAACTGCGAAAATCCAGAATTAAAGTCCGAGTATTTAACAAGATATAACAGACAAAGTCATTCTAGGACTGCCATTTATGGCCCTACTCTACCCTTTTATGGTAAATTATAATGGCATCACCTCTAATCACATGAGAGAAAAGGTCACCTTTGAATTTCTGGCGAAACCTGAATTGCAAATCTTAAAAGCTTTTCAAAATGATGCAGTCTCAAAGACAATTAACTTAATCCAAACCAAAAGAAAACAAGTCAACTTCCTTAAGGAAGAAGTCAAGTTCAAAAGAATTGAACAACAACTCAAAGATACAATGTTACAACAAAAAATAAAGAATTTCTAAGAAAAAAATTAAACAAGACGTCTGCTCAGATCTTCCCAATGCTTTTTGGCACAGAAAACAACATGTAGTCAACCTTCCTTACATCAAAGAGTTTAATGAGAAAATTATTCCTACCAAGGCCAGGCCCATTCAAATGATTCAAGAGATTATGGAATTTTGTAAAAAGGAAATTACAGAATTGCTTCATAAGAAAATAATTCGAAAAAGCAGATCTCTTTGGTCTTGTCCAGTCTTCTATGTTCAAAATAGTGCTGAGCTAGAACGAGGAGCATCCAAACTAGTCATAAATTACAAACCTCTCAATAGTGTGTTAGAATGGATCAGATACCTAATCCCTAACAAAAGAGATCTAATCAAAAGATTAAGCAACTCAGTCTTTTTTTCAAAATTTGACATGAAAAGTGGATTTTGGCAAATACAGATCCAAGAAAGTGATACATACAAAACTACTTTCGTTATCCCTTTTGGCCATTACAAATGGAATGTATCGAATGTCTGATTTGAGTGTTCTGAAGGAGTAAGGATGATCAATATATATATATATATATTATTTTTAAAGCTTAGGGTGCTTTTTAGGGGTAAAAAAGGCTTGGGATTTTACAATCCAAGTTTGTCTTCCATAACAATTTGTTAGATTTGTGAGAGAGTAGTTGGAGGAGGGTGGCAGAGGTGTTACTGAGGGGAGAGAGAGAGAGAGTTGGGATAATGAGCTGGATTGCTGACCTGATATCGCCTTGTCAGGGAAGTTTTTCTCCCAGCTGACTGAGGTAGCCAATAGAAAGCAGCAGGGCGCAGGCGGCTATGTGGCCAACGTTGTTGGGAATGCATTTAATGCTACCAATTCCGACGGGTTAGGAATTTTGGGTTCTATGAATATGAGTATCTCTACAAATCCCCCAAGAAAGCAAAACTTTTTAGCATATTTAGTCTGCATGACTAGCCCTGCCTATAAACAGACACCGCCGACTATGTTTCCTCATCTCTTTGCTTCGTATTTTGAGAATAATTGTATATTTAAAGTTTTGTTAACAGGAAGAGGTGGTTGTGGATCGAGTCGGACCAACACAGATGGAATCGGATCGGCGTGTGATAGTGGAGGACACGTACAACATAAAGAACTCAGGGGAGAAGCGGATTCTAGAGGAGTATGATGACATTAAATCCAATCCCTCCTCTGATTTCACGTGCCTCAAGCTCAATTGGAACCCATATGAATGGCAATTTGCAATCAGAGGCCATCGTGGAACTGAATTTGACGGGGGGATTTATCATGGGATGGTCAAGTTTTCAGAGGGATACCCATCGAATCCTCCTTCAATCGTGTTTTTGACGGAAAATGGTTGCTTCGATGTCCAAACCATCATCAGCTTATCGATCCGGCAGTGTGTGCGAGAAGCTTTAGTTGAATTTATTGAGAAAATGGCTACCTACTCAAATGGTGGAAGGCTTCATCTGGCCATCGAATCTCGTGTAAAAGCCCCAACATATGGTACTTTTGCACGTCAGGAGGTAATGGATGAGATTCATCAACATATGCTACGCATCGCAGCACCTGTTTCTGTTCCTGAACTGATCCCTCCGCCCTCACAGACCCCCAACGGCACAGGCGGCGGCTCTGTCGTCTACAACATCTACAACATCTACAACATCGGCTTCTCTGTCGTCTACAACATCTACAACATCTACAACATCGGCTTCTCTGTCGTCTACAACATCGTTCGTGAGAATATAATTAATGCTAGCAACTCCAAATGTGTAGGAGTTATGGATTCTATGAATGGGGCCCCCGACGTCACGAATCCCATGATAACAAAAATTTTATGCGTTGTGTTTATCGTCGCTTTCTGGGGTTGGTCATACAAATTTTTAACTTAATACTAAAAATGATGAACTGAGGTGATCCAAGTCTGTAGCGTAGTTCTCTTTTATTGGTAGCTTCTAATTTAGGAGAGGTAGTAATGGAGCTGCAGAGAGCACGGAGCGTAGCTTCAGATCCAGGGGGTTTAGGGCAAGAATATTTCCTTTATTACATTGGTATCCGATTGCTTTGACTTTTGACTTCTCATATATTAATAAGATAATATTAATGGTGATTTTCATATTCTTATTTAATATTGGTTTTCATGTTTTCCAATATAAGAGGCCTCTGACATACAACTTTGTATGCAAAAAAAAATTCCAGCCGCACGTATCTTTTCATTTTTTTCCAAGCTTCAGCCTTCAACCACTCAGCTCTCTCTCTCTCTCACTCTCTCTCAGATTTTGTTTTTTCTATATTTTGTTTTTTTTTCTTTTCTTGGTTATTGATAATTAGTAATTTGATGATCACAAAATTTTAATTATATAGCTTGATTCTTTTTTATAATTTTTTGTTGAAGATTATATTTTAGGAGGCCCTCTTATTGTTTTGGCACAAAGCCCCTAAAATCTCAAAGTTGCCATTGGGTCGGGGAGGGGGAGAGAGAGGGGAGAAAAGAGAAAAGGATAAGGGAGCGGGAGATGGACAAGGGGTCGAGGAGGGTGGGGGAGAGTAGGGATGACAATAGGTCGGGTATGACAATATCATCCCCATACTCGTCGGGAGAGTATCTCCCGAATCCCCAATTTTTTATATAAAAAAATATTGACCGTACATTAAATTATCATTCAACGCATTCAATTTAACTCTAAAATTGATCTCAACTTGTAAGGTTTTTATTTGGAATTTCATTGTATTTTGGCTATTCTCTTAAACCAACGAAACCATTGTAATGTTACTTAGATTCTAGGTTAGAATATGTGTGGGTTGAAGGGCTTCCATGTCTCCTCGTTGCAATATCTAGGGAATAGAAATCTTTAGGGACCTATATTGGACAAGCCCTCTCTTTTTTATATCTTCTCCAGAAGATGCTTCATTTTGAGATCTTACTGCAAAAATTATTATCTCAACAATTACTCCATTCAAACTTTGAACAATAAGCATTTCCTATAACAAGCAATAAGATAAACATTGGAAGGAAACAACATCAAGAAACAAGATATGTAATTAGATTAGCATGGAGATAGTACCCCGCCATGTTTCTTCCAAACTCTTAAGGTTCACTTTCCATGCTTCATTCGCTGATCGGTGATGATGAGTATTAGCAGATTCAAGCATTTATTCTAAGCTCTTGATCTGCTGCAATGCAAGGCGTTGTTAAGAGCAGCATCTCTGTAAAGAGTGTAGAACTGAAAGATAAAGTGCACAAGCCCAAGCTCTATTCAAAGTCTACTTCCTGCACTTACCCAAGCCCAACCCATTATAATTTCTTACCATTGCAGAGAAACTTCTAGAAACAGTATCTAATTAGAATAAGTAATATTCCATGAGCTAGGAATGAGCTGTAACTCTCTTTTTTGGTCACAAAGTGAGAGAGAGAGAGAGAGGGAGAGAGAGAGAAAAGAAAGATTATAAAGAGTAAAAATAATTCAAATCCATCTGTAAAATAAAGTTTGAGTCCTTAAAAAATAAAGACACATGAATTTTAAATAGAAGTATTATCAACTGTGGTGATACGATATTATTCTATAATTTATCCTGATATTGTAGCAGTATTTATAGACCAGTAGGTAATCTCTGAGAAAAACTTAGTTTATACCATCTCCGCTTCTTGACTTTGGCTTTCCTGCACTCTCTACCCTTCCGCTTTCATCTCATGCTCGTTTTACCCTGTTCGGTTCTTTCTCAGCCAAAGAGACATCTGTAGACTAGTTCTGTCCAACTCTCAAACAGTTACAGCTTTGCCTCTTCTTCTCTGTCACTGTAAGTTGTGAGAGCCTTGAACTTAAATCCATCAAAAGAGGTGGTTGTGGTGGATCGAGTTGGATCGACGCAGATCGAACAAAATCAAATGGAATTGGATCGCTACCCAGCGACGAAGAGGATTCGTGAGATTGAATCCAAACCCTCCGATCGAGTCGATCGGAAACAAATTGAATCCAAACCCTCCGATCCTGTTCCTCAACTTCTTCAACTGAGCTCCTCACAGGCCTCCAACCTCAAAGGCGGCGACTTTGACATCAAGGGGAATTTGATTCGTGCTACTACCAATTCCAAAGGGGTAAGAATTTTCGATTTCAACAATAAGATAGAACTTTCTAGGTCAAAACTGAGCTCCTCACAGGCCTCCATCCGCCCAGGCGCCAACTATAACTTCAGTGCGAATAAATTTCATGCTCCCGAATCCGAACATGTAGGATTTTTCGATTTTGGCAATAACCGAAAACTTTCTAGGTCAAAACTGAGCCTCTCACAGGCCTCCAAAGGCACAGGCGGCATGCTCGAGCGGAAGCGGGCTGTAGAGGAGTTTGACCTTCCTGGATCGAGTGTGATGGAGAAGGACAAGTGCTACTCAGTGGCGAAGGGGTTTATAGAGGAGCCTGACCATCTTCAAAGTACTCTTCACTCCTCAGGGCTAAAGCGGATTCTACTGGAGTATGATGAGATTGAATCCAATCCCTCCAACGATTTCAAGTGCGCCATTGTCGAGCGGAACCCATATGAATGGCAATTTGGAATCAGATGCGCTAGTGGAACTAAATTCGAGAGTGGGATTTATCATGGGTGGATCCAGTTTCCGGAGGAGTACCCATCGAAGCCTCCTTCATTCACGCTTTTGACTGAAAATGGTCGCAACAAGATCAGGATAAGGCGACTGAATGATTGGCAGCCGTCATGGAGGGTGCGAGATGGTTTACTTGCACTTATTGATGAAATGCCCACCTACCTAGATGGTGAATTGGGTTCAGTAGAATGCAGTAGGGAAGAAGGGCTTGATCTGGCCATCAAATCTCGTGCGGCAGCCCCAAAATATGGCACTGGCGAACGTCAGAAGGTAATTGATGAGATTCATGAATATCTGCTAAGCAAGTCACCACCTGTTCCTGTTCCTCAACTCCAACTGACGAGAAACACTCCGTGTCAGGTCAGCAAATCCACCTGTGAATTATTTTAACTTCTTTTTACCTCTTCTCTTCCGTTCTCTCTCGCTGCAACCTTCTTCTTTTTATTTTATTTATTTAGTCTATCTATGAACAAAACAGAAAAAGGAGTTTTAAAATCTGAGGAAGAGAACTGCGATTTCGGGGAAGGGGCTTACATGGGTTTGACAGAGAAGATATATATGGATATATGTATATATATTTATGTATTTATTTTACTTAGTGTCTTTTTAGGGGTAAAAAATGCTTGGGTTTTTACAATCCAAGTTTGTCTTTCATAACAATTTGTAAGATTTGTGAGAGAGTAGTTGGAGGAGGGTGGTGGCAATGGAGCCAAAAGAAAGCAAAGTTTGTCTTTCATAACAATTTGTAAGATTTGTGAGAGAGTAGTTGGAGGAGGAGGGTGGCAATGGAGCCAAAAGAAAGCAGCAGGGCACAGGGGCCTTTGTCGTCAATGTTGTTGGGAATACATTTGTTAATGCTACCAATTCCGACGGGGTAGGAATTTTGGGTTCTATGAATGAGTACCTCTACAAATCCCCCAAGAAAGCAAAACTATTTATCATATTTACTCTGCATGACTAGCCCTACCTTTAAACAGACACCGGCTATCTTTCCTCATCTCTTCGCTTCGTATTTTGAGAATAACTGTATATTTAAAGTTTTGTTAACAGGAAGAGGTGGTTGTGGATCGAGTCGGATCAACGCAGATGGAATTGGATCGGAGTTTTATAGCGGAGGACATGTGCAACATAAAGAACTCAGAGGAGAAGCGGATTCTAGAGGAGTATAATGAGATTGAATCCAATCCCTCCCGCGATTTCAAGTGCCTCAAGCTCGATTGGAACCCATATGAATGGCAATTTGCAATCAGAGGCCCTAATGGAACTGAATTCGAGGGTGGGATTTATCATGGGCTGGTCCAGTTTTCGGAGGGATACCCATCGAACCCTCCTTCAATCATGTTTTTGACGAAAAATGGTCGCTTCAAAATCCAAACCAACGTCAGCTCAAGGCTATTATTGAACTGGCAGTCAACATGGAGGGTGCGAAATGCTTTACTTGCACTTATTGAGGAAATGCCCACCTACCCAGATGGTGATGATGAATTGGATTCAGTAAAATACAGTAAGGAAGTAAGGCATGCCCTGGCCATCAAATCTCACGCAGCAGCCCCAAAATTTGGCTCTCCTAAACGTCAGAAGCTAATTGATGAGATTCATGAATATATGCTAAGCGAGGTACCACCTGTTCGTCAACTCGTCTACACCATTACTGGGAATACAATTCATGCTACCAGGGCCAAAAATGTAGGAGTTTTCGATTTTATGGATGAGGCCCCCAAATTCATGACAACAAAAACAAAATTTTTTCGGGTTTTCATTTTTTCGTCAATACTTTTTGGTTTTTCGTCAATACTTTTTGGATTTTGGTCATTCCGAGGGTGATGAACTAACTGAGGTGATCAAGTCTGTAGCGTTTGCGTAGGGCTCTTTCTTTGGTAGCTTCTCCTAATTTAGGAAATTAGTAGTAATGTAATTAATTGAAAATGGGCATTCTAGTTTACGACCGTGATTTCATATACTTTGTCCCCATAGAAATGCTCTTCTCAAGCTTGTTCTTATTCAACTTCATTGATTGCCTATTTATAGGCTTACAACATACGGAGAGTGGGGCTCGATTATGCTGATATTAGGCCTGATAGTATTAATCAGACCTTGGTTTGTATAGTATTAATCAGACCTTAATTACCCTTTATCAGGAATCACACGAGGCCACGTGTAAATTATATATATATTTAAATATTACCGGTTCGGTTCAGGTCCACCGGTTCTGAAAAAATTAGAACCGCGAGCCGAACCGTGGACCTTCGGTTCGGTTCAGGTCCAGGTTTGACTTTTTCGGTTTGGTCAAAAAACGCTCTTTTTCGGTTTGGGTTGGGTTGGTTCGGTCGGTTTGATCGGTTTATCGGTTTTTATGCCCACCCCTACTATTTTCTATTCTTTTTTACTTCAGCACCCATTAGACCAAGAGTGAATGATGAACTGAGGTGATCAAGTCTCTAGATGGTGGAATGCAAAATGGATGGTCATGGTCTCAACTCATTACCATGGAAACAAATATAGCTCATCACTTCAAAGGCAATAGATGTATCGCAACGTGAACAAGGCATAGTCGAAGACAAAGATCTGCCGCTGAGGAGGCTCTACTATCTGACTACTATTGAGATTTATCCTGTACCATTATCAGATTATGCGTAAAATCTTATGCCGCGTAGAACCGCGCCTTTCAACATTCTGATAGGTACTCTTGTCCCAATATAATCTCCAAAATCACACCGTTGCTCTTCTGTTGTTACACTCTACAATAAATGGAGAATAGGGGGTTCCTTACAGATCCCGGCCAAAATGTTCACTCACCCTCTCGCTATCTCTTCGTGACGTATAATGGCTCTGTCGTACTTCACATTTTCTGGACAGTGTTGATAAACAAGGGGTTCACCGTTACAAAAGAATACAAGATTTACTATGACCGCACCCTCCACCTTTGAATCTGGAGGCAAGCAGTTGGTTAGCTGGAGCAGCCAGTTTCCGTGCATCTACAATCTCACTTCTGTGGTCATGAAAATGAGAATCTTGAGAAAAGAGAAGTCGCAGATCCTGAAGCATCACTCACTGGACTAGGAGGAACATCTCCGGATGCTCGGTACGCTTGTTGACACTTGTGCATCTGCATTCATATATAAAGTGCATAAATTAGAATGGAATTGACAATCTAAGGAAACCACAAGGGAAGTGTGATAGTTTCGGAGTATCATAGACAACTAACTACAACTGCAGCATAGCAACTACAGGTAATAGGGCCTCCACTTCACCTATTTGAGTAATAAAAACAATCAGACATTCCACTTCACCTATTGAATATAAAATTGACGACTTTGATTGTTACATCAGTCTATAATAGAAATACCTGTTTCAAGAAGCTTTAAGATTACATTTTTCAGGTATGTCATATCTACTCCTTCCCTCTTCTGCATTCTTTCCATGTTGCGAAGCTCAGCCTTCAACATAGATTCCTGCATATATGCCACACCATTGCCAGTTCATCAGCAATTTCATTTTCAGATCTGCTCAATTCATACACATTCTATTATTTACTACAACTTTCAAAAGGAATTTCCAAACAATTGAAATCAATCAGCCAAAACAACAGGGGCTAAAATCTGCAAAAATCCAGGCTTCTTGATACCTGTTGGCTATGCAGCCGATTCTCACGCTCCAGCTCCTCAATTTCCTCCTGAGTTGAAACAAAAAACATGCATCAGAACTGACCTAAAGAACAGTAGTAATCAAGATGAGGGATTACACACCTGGAGCGCTAAAATGTGCCGCTGTGACTGTGCTAGTTCTTCCTCTCTTTGGGCTTTCTGCCTTGCCAAAATCTGAAATTCATATTAAAACAGTGTATGAACACATTTGGATGCACAGCATGAAAAGGTAAAAGCCAGTGTACAAGTCTGCAATTATAATAACTCGTCCACTTGAACTCATAATAAGATCTTAAAGCCCCCAAGTAGCCTGATTACTATAAATATCAGCACTCTAGACCATCATTATACCATTAAGTTCATCACTACAAAAGTGAAGCACCTAGACATTCTAATTTTATCAAATCCAGTTGTCTTATTTTGAGATCACAACTATAAGTCTCTAACATAACCAGCCATAAAATTATAATACTCCGAGTGCAATAACCCAAAGTTTTCCTTCTCTCTTTTTTTCTTGGCAAGACTATAGAGTAAATATAACAATTAAAAGCAAACTGCAAAAAACAACAAGCTCCCAGTTGGGTGTTACATGGCAAGAAAAATCTAGAGAGAGAATATAATTACCAGAATCTGCTGTTCTGCAGCAGAGTTGCTTATACTTGATGCGTCCTGTTTATACATGCCTGATTATACCAGTGTGAAGAAAAAGAAATGTTTTAACTCCACTAGGTACCCCAACAGGTAAAAAACACCATAGTTCCAGTAATAAAGAAACTCTTCTTCTAACTGGAACAGATAATGAGAAATTGTACTCAGGATCCTCCTACCTGTGTTATAATTATCGTTATGATCAGCCTATAATAAAATTACCTGTTTCAAGAAGCTTTAAGAATACATTTTTCAGGTATGTCATATCTACTCCTTCCCTCTTCTGCGTTCTTTCCATGTTGTGAAGCTCCACCTTCAACATAGATTCCTGCATATATGTCACAACATTCAAAAGATAAATATATATCAATATAAAAGCAAACAAAATTGTAGGTGAGATTTCACCTTACGTCAAATATCATCACCATTGCCAGTTCATCAGCAATTTAACTTTCAGATATGCTCAATTCATACACATTCTATTATTAACTACACTTTCAAAAGGAAATTCCAAACAACTGAAATAAATCAAGCCAAAAGAACAGAGGCTAAAATCTGCAAAAATCCAGGCTTCTTGATACCCGTGGGCTATGCAGCCGATTCTCACGCTCCAGATCCTCAATTTCCTTCTGAGTTGAAACAAAAAACATGCATCATTCAGAACTGCCCTAAAGAACTGTGGTAATCAATATGAGGGATTACACACTTGAAGAGCTAAAATGTGCCGCGGTGACTGTGCTAGTTCTTCTTCTCTTTGGGCTTGCTGCCTTGCCAAAATCTGAAATTCATATTAAAAGTAAAACAGTATATGAACACATTTGGATGCACAGCATGAAAAGGAAAAAGCCAGTGTACAACTTGTACAGTTGAACTCATAGTAAGATCTTAAAGCCCCCAAGTAGCCTGGTTATCATAAATATCAGCACTCTAGACCGCCATTATACCATTAAGTTCATCACTACAAAAGTGAAGCACCTAGGTATAACCAGCCATAATATTATAATACAAAAACCGGGTGCAATAACCCAAGTTTTCCTTCTTCTTTTTTTCTTGGCAAGACTTGAAAGTAAATATAACAATTAAAAGCAAGAAAAATCTAGAGAGAAAATATAATTACAAGAATCTGCTGTTCTGCAGCAGAGTTGCTTATACTTGATGTGTCCTGTTTATACGTGCCTGATTATACCAGTGTGAAGAAAAAGAAATGTTAGAACTCCACTAGGTACACCAACAGGTCAAAAACACCATAGTTCCAGTTATAAAGAAACTCTTCATCTAACTGGAACAGATAATAAGACATTGTACTCAGGATCCTCCTACCTGTGTTATAATTATCGTTATCATCAGCCTGAGGTTATACACCGCAATGTCAGGACAATGGATTACAAATACGGAAGAAAAAAATTATCAGAAAATTGAAATGAAAGGATAAATTTTAGATGTCACTTAAGAAAAAGGAACATATTCGTGGTGTTGAGTCCAATGATTGATGAAGATTCTTGTTACCATATCTATAAGTCTAGAAATTTCTTTGTCCTTCTCCACAATCATTTTATCAGCAGGATCACGAAATGAACTGTGCTCCTCCTAAAATGATGAATACAATTAAGAGAACCTAAAAATTTAAACATTTTATAGGAGCAGAAAGAGAGAGATTAAAGCAAATTACCTTCAAATTTTTACACCGTAATTTGAGGTCTTTCATTGTTTTTTTTATCTTCTCCAGAAAATGCTTCATTTTGAGCTCTCAGTGTGTCACATCTTACTGCAAAAATTATTATCTCAAGAATAACTCCATTCAAACTTTGAACAATAAGCATTTCCTATAACGAGCAATAAGATAAAAATTGTTGGAGGGAAAAAACATCAAGAAAACAAGATATGTAATTAGATTAGCATGGAGATAGTACCCCGCATGTTTCTTCAAAACTCTTAAGATATGTAATTGATATGCTGCAAGGTGTTGTTAAGAGTAACATATCTCTGTAACAAATGTGGAACTGAAAGATGAAGATCATTGCTTAACAATTCACAGTAGAATATTACCTTACTCGTAAACAACCAAACGACACTGGATGAAGAGCAGGTAAGGAACAGCCACCATGACTCAAGTAGTTATGGTCATGAAATGGTGAAGAATCGACTACTAGTCTAAAACAGCTAATTGTTGAAATTGGTTGCGTCAGAGAAATAGTATGTACTTCTGGTTAAACACATGTTGGTGCCTTTCATTTTAAGAATCATCTTGGCGTTTTTCTCTAACAATAACTAATGAATTATAAGAGGAATATTTGAGGATTTTTGATATATACGTGTGGGTTGGTGTTTGAGGATTTTTTGGAGCAGGGCAGGGTGGTTTGAGTGAGATTGAGAAGAAGAACCAAGAGGAAGGCTGATCTTTTGTACAACGCCATTGATGAGAGCAAAGGGTTTTACAGGTGCCCAGTTGAGAAGTCTGTGAGGTCATTGATGAATGTGCCCTTCACGCTTGAGAAGTCAGAGTTGGAAGCTGAATTTGTGAAGGAGGCAGCGAAAGAGAAGATGGTTCAGCTCAAGGGACATAGGTCAGTGGGAGGGATGAGGGCTTCAATTTATAATGCCATGCCCTTGGCTGGGGTTGAGAAGGAAGTTGCTTTCATGAAGGATTTCCAGGCAAAGCTTGCTTAAGATTTAGTAGCATACATTACTGGAGGAGCTGCAACCACAACTTATTGAGTTGTTACAAGGGTAAGATCATAGATGTCTGAAATTTTTTGAATTATTTTGCTATATCCTCTCTTTCCCACTTTCTGCAGGCTGATCAAAAATTGGAAGATCATGTCAGAATATCATGAAACACAACATCAAATCATGTCAGAAGTGAAATGGCTCAAGTGTTCATCTTATGGAAAGTCACACCAGCATGCAACTCAAACGCTTCAAGTAGGACTTCAAAATTGGCGTGCTTGCTTTGGTCAATATGTTTGTTCAGTCAACAAAAAAGTCCTAAGTGAATCATAAGAAAATCATATAATCACAATCTATTAAACTCATAAGTAAAATCTTGTAATTACCAAATCGTGCTGAAATTCATTACAATAAAATCCTGCGATTGCAATCTATTAAAATCGCAATTGAATACACCCTCCTTAGAAACCTATTCATTTTTTCACGTTTTCACGTTTTCTTCTCTTTGGGCGCCGCACTCTTCCGTTCTGCAATCTCCGCTTCTCGACTTGGCTTTCTTGCACTCTCTACCCTTCCGCTTTCATCTCATGCTCGATTTCCCCGGTTCAGTTCTTTCTCGGCCAAATAGACATCTCTAGACTAGTTCTGTCCAACTCTCAAACAGTCACAGCTTTGCCTCTTCTTCTCTGTCACTGTAAGTTGTGAGAGCCTTGCACTTCAAATCCATCCAAGCTTTTGAATTTGCTCTGAAGAAACAGCAACAAGATCTGCATATTTACTCTGCATGAGGAGCCCTGCATACAAACACAGCCGGCCATTTTTCCTCATCTCTTCGCTCGTATTGTGAGAATAATTGTATATATTTGAAGTTTTGCTAACCGGAAGAGGTGGTTGTGGTGGATCGAGTCGGATCGACGCAGATCGAACAAAATCAAATGGTATTGGTCGGTGCGTGATGGCGGAGGACAATTGCAACTCAGCAGAGAAGATTCTAAAGGAGTTTCATGAGATTGAATCCAATCCCTCCGACGATTTCAAGTGCGCCCTGCGCGATTGGAACATATATGAATGGCAATTTGCACTCAGAGGCCCTAGTGGAACTGAATTCGAGGGTGGGATTTATCATGGGCGGATCAAGTTTCCGGAGGAATACCCGTCGAAGCCTCCTTCATTCATGTTTCTGACGGAAAATGGATGCTTCAAAACCCAAAGGGACATCTGCTCAAGCCGATTTTTGAAATGGCAGTCATCATGGACGGTGCGATATGCTTTACTTGCACTTATTGATTTAATGCCCACCTACCCAGATGATGAATTGTGTTCATTAGAATGCATTAAGGAAGGAAGGCGTGTCCTGGCCCTCAAATCGCGTGGAGCAGCCACAACATATGGATCTTCTGAATGTCAGAAGGTAATTGATCAGATTCATCAATATAGCACCCAACGGCACAAGCGGCGGCTCTGAGCCCTCACAGGCCTCCAATGGCACAGGCGGCGTCTCTGTCGCCTACAACATTAGTCAGATTACAGTTCATTCTACCGATTCCCACAATGTTGGAATTTTTGGTTTTATGAATGAGGCCTGCATCAGGGGCGGAGGCACATTGGGACCAGTTTTGGCCCGGACTCCCATTGTACAGGAGTATAGAGAGATTGAATCCAATCCCTCCGACGATTTCAAGTGTGGCATTTTCGAGCATGAGATGAAAGCGGAAGGCACCCAACGGCACAGGCGGCGTCACTCTCGTGTTGAACGTTATTGGGGATACCTTTAATGGTACCAATTCCGACAGGGTTGGAATATTGGGTTCTATGAATGTGGCCTTCATCTGGGGCGGGGAGGGGCGGAGCGAGCACATTGGGACCGGGCTCCCCACTCATAGTCATAGTTTTTTTATATTAAAATGTGGTTCCGATTCCGATGTGAAAGCCCAATTTACATCATTGTGTGTTGATGTCCAATGAGCCCCAGTTTTTTACGGGCTTAATACAAATTTTGAATTATGAACCTGGTAATTTACTAATTTCATCGTGTAACCCACCTTTTATGACCTTTTATTGACTTTGACTGGACTGTGAAGATTCTAAAGAACATTAACAACCTTTTATGACCTTTCATTGTTGAGTTGAAGTGATAAAAAGTTTGGTCGGCCATACACAACATTTCTTAACACGTAAGGATTCAAAGTGATCTTACGGCTGAAAGTTGGTGGGAGTGGATTCACTTGTAGAACTACCGACCCTCGCCCCTTCTAGAAACACCAAATAAGAAACGCGTTTTCCCAAAAATGGCAAATAACACAAGTGGGATGTAGAAGGCCAATCTAGACCTTTTTCTTTTTTTCTTCTGTTTTTTGGTCAAAGGAATGATCATGTCGTGCCAGACTTGTATTTAAGGAGCTATCTACCTTTTCGAATTTAAGGAGCTTTCATCTCGTGCTCTATTTCTCAACTCTCAAACAGTTAGAACTTTCCTTTTTCTTCTCTGTCGAAAGCCTTGAACTTCAAATCCATCTAAGATTTTCAACAAAATAAAAAGGAATCGAATCCCTACCCAGCGATGAAGCGGATTCGAGACAAGTATGGTGAGATTGGATCCAATCCCTCCGACGATTTCAAGTGCGGCTTGCTCGAGCGGAACCCATATGAATGGAAATTTAGAAGCAGAGGCGCTAGTGGAACTGAATTCGAGGTTATGGCTTATCATCTTCGGATCCAGTTGACGGAAAATGGTCGCTTCAAAATCAAAACCAAGACCAGAGAACGGTGCTCTGTCCTCAACAACAACGTTATTAACGCTATTGTTGTTGGGAATAATCCTTCCGTCGATTGTGTATTGACGCAGACGGAATCGGATCGGAGAGTGATACCAGAGGACAATTGCAACAGGGTGAACTCAGCGGTGAAGCGGATTAGAGACAAGTTTAATGAGATTGGATCCAATCCCTCCCACGATTTCAAGTGCGGCCTGCTCGAGCGGAACCCATATGAATGGAATTTTAGAATCAGAGGCGCTAGTGGAACTGAATTCGAGGGTATGCTTTATTATGTTCGGATCCAGTTGACGGAAAATGGTCGCTTCAAAATCAAGATCAGAGCACGGAATCGGGTCGGAGACGGAATCGGATCTGTTGTCAACGACAACGTTATTAACGCTATTAATGAGATTCGTGAATATAGGCTAGGCAAGGCTTCACCTGTTCCTCTTCAACTCAGCCCCTCACAGGCCTCCAAAGAGCGTGAGCATTCCCAAAATGATAGCACAGGCGGCGGATCTGTCGTCTACAACAATATTACTGGGAATATAATTTATGCTGCCGATTCCAAGGGGGTAGGAATTTCGGTTTGTAATTATATGAATGACCCCATGAAAGAAATTCTTTTTTGGGTTTCGGTCAATACTTGTTTGGTTTTGTTCTGTACTTTTTTGGTTGTCTTCAATACGTTAATGGTTTTGAAAGCAAAACTAGACGTCTGCGAAGAGGACCAAGAGTGATGAACCGATCAACGTGAGGACATGTTTGTGCACTTGCTATTTGTTTCATAATTCTCCAATTGCATGATCCAAAGAATTACATCAGCATGAATAAGCATGAATTAGAAGTGTATAACCATATAATCAGGGGCGGACCCATAGAGCCATAAATGGAGTCAAGCGACTCCATGGCAGCCGAGAAAAATGCCACCTCTTTTTCTTCTTATTTGTTGACGCAATAAATACCCAATGGCTTATTTCAATATCCTGTCTGATATTCAATCCTCTTTCATATCAAGTAATATCACGTAATGGAGACTGAATTAATATTTATTCAAGAAAAGGACCCGTCAGTTATCACCTACTACAAACCACCTGGCGGTGAAATGCAAAATGGATGGTTGGTCCCCCAACTCACTACCGTGGAAACAAAAATAACTCATCCTTTCAATTCAATGGCAATTGATAGATATGGCAACGTGAACAAGAGTTAGTATAGTCAAAGACAACCATCTGCCTGCTGAGGAGACTCTACTATCTGACTACTATTGAGATTTATCCTGTACCATTATCAGATCATGCGTAAAATCTTATGTCGCGCTAAAAACGCGCCTTCAAATTTCTGACAGGTGCTGTTGTGCTGTCCCAATATAAATCTCCAAAATCACATCGGTGCTGTTTTGTTGTTACACTCTACAATAAATGGCGAGGAGGGGGGTTCCTCCCAGAGCCCGGCCAAAATGTTCACTCTCTCTCTCTCTCTCTCTCTCTCTCTCTCTTCGTGATGTATAATGGCTCTGTCGTACTTTACATTTTCTGGACAGTGTTGATAAACAATGGTTCGCCGTTACAAAGGAATACAAGATTTACTATGACCGCACCCTCCACCTTTGAATCTGGCGGCAAGCAGTTGGTTAGCTGGAGCAGCTAGTTTCCCTGCAAAGAATTCTCTACAATCTTCACTTCCGTGGTTATGAAAATGAGAATCTTGAGAAAAGAGAAGTCGCTGATCCTGAAGCATCAATAGCTGGGCTAGGAGGAACATCTCCGGATGCTCGGTACGCTAGTTGACACTTCTGCATCTGCATTCATATATAAAGTGCATAAATTAGAATGGAATTGATAATCAAGGAAAACCACAAGGGAAGTGTGATAGTTTCGAAGCATCATAGACAACTAACTAACTACAACTGCAGCATAGGAGAAAAGAATTTCACCTCGTCTGGACTAAATTGAAGAAGCATACCAACTACAGGTAATAGGGCCTCCACTTCACCTATTTGAGTAATAAAAACAATCAGACATTCAAATATCACTTGTATAATGTGTCTCACTAGGTGATCGCCCTTGAATATAAAATAGACAACTTTGATCGTTACATCAGTCTAATAAAAATACCTGTTTCAAGAAGCTTTAAGATTACATTTTTCAGGTACGTCATATCTACTCCTTCCCTCTTCTGCGTTCTTTCCATGTTGCGAAGCTCAGCCTTCAACATAGATTCCTGCATATATGTCACACCATTGCCAGTTCATCAGCAATTACATTTTCAGATATTGAGCATTCATACACATTCTATTATTTACTACAACTTCCAAAAGGAATTTCCAAGCAACTGAAATCAAACAAGCCAAAACAACAGGGGTAAAATCTGCAAAATCCAGACTTCATGATACCTGCTGGTTATGCAGCCGATTCTCGCGCTCCAGCTCCTCAATTTCCTCCTGAGTGAAACAAAAAAACATGTATCAGAACTGACCTAAAGAACAGTAGTAATCAAGATGAGGGATTACACACTTGAAGCGCTAAAATGTGCCGCTGTGACTGTGCTAGTTCTTCCTCTCTTTGGGCTTGTTGCCTTGCCAAAATCTGAAATTCATATTAAACCAGCATATGAACACATCTGGATGTACAGCATGAAAAGGAAAAAGCCAGTGTACAAATCTGCAATGATAATAACCCGTATACTTGAACTCATAGTAAGATCTTAAAGCCCCCAAGTAGTCTAGTTATTATAAATATCAGCACTTCAGACCACCATATACCATGAAGTTCATCACTACAAAAGTGAAGCACCTAGACATTCTAATTTTATCCAATCCAGTTGTCTCATAACCAGCCATAACATTATAATACTCCGGGTACAATAAGCCAAGTTTTCCTCTCTTTTTTCCTTGGCAAGACTTGAAAGTAAATATAACAATTAAAAGCGAACTGCAAAAAACAAGAAGCTCCCAGTTGGGTGTTACATGGCAAGAAAAATCTAGAGAGAATATAATTACCAGAATCTGCTGTTCTGCAGCAGAGTTGCTTATACTTGATGCGTCCTGTTTATACATGCCTGATTATACCAGTGTGAAGAAAAAGACATGTTAGAACTCCACTAGGTACCCCAACAGGTAAAGAACACCAAAGTTCTAGTAATAAATAAATCTTCATCTAACTGGAACAGATAATAAGAAATTGTACTCAGGATTCTCCTACCTGTGTTATAATTATCGTTATGATCAACCTGAGGTTATACACCGCAATGTCAGGACAACGGATTACAAATACCAAAGAAAAAATTTATCAGAAATTGAAGTGTATGGATAAAGTTATAGATGTCACTTAAGAAAAAGGAACATACTCGTGGTCTTGAGTCCAATGATTGATGAAGTTTCTTGCTATCATCTTCAAGTCTAGAAATTTCTTTGTCCTTCTCCTCAATCATTCTATCAGCAAGATCACGAAATGAACTGTGCTCCTCCTAAAATGATAATACAATTAAGAGAGACCCAAAATTTAAACATTGTATAGGAGCAAAAAGATAGAGATTAAAGCAAATTACCTTCAATTTTTTATACCGTAATTTGAGCTCTTCCAATTCTGTTTTTATATCTTCTCCAGAAGATGCTTCATTTTGAGCTCTCAGTGTGTCACATCTTACTGCAAAAATTATTATTTCAAGAATAAATCCATTCAAACTTTTAACAATAAGCATTTCCTATAACAAGCAATAAGACAAACATTGAAGGAGGGAAAAAACATCATGAAACAAGATATGTAATTAGATTAGCATGGAGATAGTACCCCGCCATGTTTCTTCCAAACTCTTAAGGTTCACTTCCCATGCTTCTTTTGCTGATCGGTGATGAGTATTAGCAGATGCAAGCATTGATTCTAAGCTCTTGATCTGCTGCAAGGTGTCGTTAAGAGCAGCATCTCTGTAACAAGTATTGAACTGAAAGATCAAGATCATTGCTTAACACTTTACAGTAGTATATTACCGAACTCGTAAACAACTAAACGATACTCCATGAAGAGTGGAAGGCTTTTAGACAACAAACAAGACCAAACTACAGTGGGGAAGGAACAGCCACCATGACTCAAGTAATTATGGTCATGAAATGGTGAATAATTGACTACAAGTCTAAAACAGCTAATTGTTGAAATTTGTTGCATCAGAGCATTGAGCTTTTATGAGGAAATTATAATTGTTCAAATTGGTTGCATCAGAGCATTGGGCTTTTCTGTACTTCTGGTTAAACACATGTTGGTGCCTTTTATTTTAAAAATCATCTTGCCGTTTTTCTCTTACAATTACTAATAAATTATAATTACCTTGCCCTTTTATGAGGAAAAAATATCTATACCATTTCTGGATTAGGGACATTTTGAAAACAATCCCAAATTTGGGCCCCTGGGCAAAGCTCACCTTTCTTCTATTTCTTTGTAATGATTAGCCAAGGCATCCTGAAGATCTTGAATGGCCTTATCCCTTTCAGCACACACAAAAGATACTTCCTTTTCAGCCTCCTACAGAAAAAAAGAAAGAAAGAAAAAGTAATTAATAAGGGTTTGAAGATGCGCATGTCAGTTCAAGATTTTTCTTCATGCTAGAAAATAAGATTAATTGCAAGTACACACTTTTAGTGCTTCCTCAAGAGCTTTGACTTGTTCGGAGTCTTTAACTCCAGCTAGCTCTGCATCCTTCTTCTGGAGAAGTGCATGAGCACGGCTTTTGTAAGAAGAAAACTCACGTTCAAGGCGGTTGATCTGCAGGATATAATATGTTGACAGAAGACACATCAGGAAATATTTGGATGTAAGCAACTAGATCTTCACTCAGTTTAATCCTGTTGAGAAAAGCGGGTGGTAATAAATTTAAACCTCATTCTTGACAGCTGCAAGTTCAGCATCTCTAGCATCAAGCATTCGTGTTTTTGCAGACACCTCTGATTCCAGCTGGCCTGCCCAATGGGAAAAGCATGTGACGCTGATATAAATATATATACATATATAAATAGATGAAAATTCAGTAAGGAATATAAATATACTTCTCATTTTGGCTACTTCAATTTCAGCACATATCCGGTTGCTCTCAGCAATTTGAAGCTTCGTGTTCAGTGCCCGGGAGGAGGCTTCCCAGCTTTCCTTTTCTTTCTCCTGGAAGAATTATATATTTTTACGATATATCAAAATTAGAAGCAGCATATCCCAAAAGTACAGAAGTGGTAAAGTAACCAGGCAAGGATAATGGTGGCATTGATTAAAGGCGCAAAAAAAAAACCACTCTTAATCGACAAAAGGGCATCAAATAAGGAACTACACATAATGGTCTGCCAAACAAGAGATCCTGGAAGCCATAATTCATACATGCTCATGTTTCAAGTGAGTAAGGTCTCCTTTTAGAGTTTCCCCAGCCGCTCTAAGCCTTGCTGCCTCACCCGTTGATGCTGCTTCCATCTCTGCAATCTTAGACTCTTTCTCTGCAACTAGCATCTGGAGAATTACATTCACTAATTAGTCTGATCCATTTTCAGGTTACAGAAACAGTAGGTGACTAAACTATGCAATGGAGTAAAATTATTATCCCAAAAAGAAGCAAAGATATAAGATAACACAACCACTAATCCACTTCTACTTTATTGTCTTCTCATTCTGATGCCAACTTTCCAGCCCCTTATATTTTAATGGACCTTATACCTTTCTTTTATTCCAATAGTGGGCTGCAATTGAGAGGAGCACAAGACTCAGGCTTCACATGACTTGACTTGTTATGGTTGCACAGCCTAAGCTCAAACATGCTAATCAGTTCCTAGCATATTCATGAACAAGAAGGTTGAATTATTCCTAATCTAATTACGGGCCACACATTGATAGATATAAGCTTGTTGAAAAGATTACAAAAGTACCTCATATTTGGGGGTCTTGGTTATTCACTTGGAAATTAAAAGGACTTACTGTTGAATTTGTTTAGATTTCAAGTCCAACTCATGATTATTAGTGACGTATTGGGAGTGAAAACGTCTACCAATCAAGCTTGTAAACATGCCCATGCCCACTTACACATTAAAGAACTAAACTTGAAAATATAATGGAGCTCATTAATGTGCTGTATCAGCTCATGCTCAATCCAAAATTACAAAAACCAAATTAAAAGATTTCAAGCTAGCCCCAGATTATGTTCAGCCATATCTTCTTCTTTTTTTTAAATGGAATTTCAAACCTATCTATAAGTTGTTAAAAACGGAGTGAACATTATAATCAAAACTCTCACCTGCAGTGAAGAAATAGTTTCAGTTGCTTTATTTCTATCAGATGACGCATCAGCAAGCTGGGCTTCCAAACTCTCCAAATTCTGAAGAAATCAGAGACAGTAATTAAAGCACCAATTTGTTGGTGAAACTAATAGCAGGGAAAGAAATACACCATCCTTTATTATAAACAAATAGGAATACTAAATTAGACATACAAATGCAAATACACCTTCTGATGTTTAGCAGAGAGTTCAGCTATTGAAGCTTGCCTTTTTTCATCAGCAGCCTGCAGCAACCCTCGCATGTCTTCCAACATCTGAGATAAATGCAAGTTAACATTAACATAGATATCCTTTTCTGTTTATTTCTTATTAATAGATATCTCATGTTAATGAATAATACAGAACTTCCCAAAGTATAAGCACAAATAGTCATACCTGTTCCTTCTCCAAAATTGTATGTTGTAATGCCTCAATAGCAGTCTCCTTTGGTTGCAATTGGTGCCGTAATTCCTCAATGTTGTCTCGTAGTCTGAATGTCAAGAACATAGTTACAGTTAAGATAATAAATGGCAAAAGCAGTTATGAGTCTCTCAACATATGCATAAATGGGTCATGGTAGGAAGTTAAGGATTTACTTATTGTTTGCACTTCTTAGTTGTTGCCTCTCTGCATCAATTGCTTTCAGTGCATCATTTGCTTGTTGCCTTGTTCTATCCAGCTCTTGCTGCAATGCTGACTGTTGGGACAACGCTCGCTCAGAAGCTTCATTTACTTCACGAAATCGAACCTCGAGGTCATCTTTTTCCTGAAGAAAAAAGACAATAGCCACCAGCTTCCGAACTTAATTTCCACTTAAAAGGGTTTTCCACTACGTATGTTGACAATCCGGAAAGAATTTACCTTTTGAACATCTTGAATACGCTGTTTTGCTCGTTTATGAAGCCTGGTGAATTTCAAGTCGAGATCAGAATACTTCTCTTCCCGTTCTTTAATTTCTTGATCCAACTTCTGTTGAGCTACACAAAATGAACAGCAAACAGTGCAATACATTCAGATTACGAAAGATAAACTTATGAATTACGATAATTGGATATTATCAGCAACATTTTCCCAACAGAAACAACAAATTTACCAATGCAGAGACATAATCAGACCTTCAGCGAGCTTTGCAGAGAGCTCTTGAGCTTTAGAATCTGCTTCCGAGTGTGCTTCCCGAAGATGCTTCAAAGCCACTTCAGCTGCAGCTCGTGTTTGTTTCTCTTCCAAAAGCTCCACATTCAACGATTCAATCGTTTGACGCAGTTGCTCCACCTCTTCAGATTTACCGCCTTCCGTCTCACTCGGCTCTGTTTGTTGGAAATTCTGAAATCCTTCGAACTGAGACTTCAGGAATTCGTTCTGCAATTTGAGCTCCATGACCATCTGAACAAGCTGATCATGAGCATCGCTCGAGCCCGGGCCGCCATTCCCCAACGCGAGATCTCCATTGCCATTGCCTCCGTGCTTCTGCGGCTTGGATTTCTCTTCCATTTGAGCCTCAACCTCCGTCGACATTGTTAACGCTTGGTTTCAAGTTTCAACCTGAGAGAGACAAACACGACAATCAAAACAGTGCGTATCAATGCTGTGTGGATCTCATCAGATCCCAAACCAAACAAACAGCGAAGCCAATTCAGTGAAATCAACGCTGCTGAAATTCGAAGCAACAACCAGACGGTACCGTTTTGGGAGATGGAGAATTGGTGATCTATCCAGAAAATTGAAATCTCGCCCTGGTGTTGCTCGGCTGGAGGTCTGAGTCTAACGCTTAGCCAAGCACACAGAAGAGAGAGTCGCAGACACAGGGCGGGACTGAGAACGGTAAACGTCGCCGTTTTTGATACGGACGTGACGTGCATCTGCTGTTAGTCTATATCTCTAACGGTGGCGCGGGAGGACGTGGCCGATGCCTCCGTCATAAGAGCCGTAATTACTTAAATTTGAGAAGGGCTTTTTAGTAATAAAAGAGTGGAGCCCAAATTACTCTTGCTCTCTTGCGCCCAAATTTGGGTGGGAATCTTAACGGAACCTTTCACGTGAAGCCCAAACTCTCAAAATTTGAAGGCCTAGAGCCCATATCTCTTATTAGGCCACTGCTAGTGCTGGCTTTTATTTAATTTTCTTTAAATTAATTAATTTTGAAGAGCACATTCGTTTTTTTTCTTTTTTAGAGTACAAACTAAAGGGAAGGGGGATTTCACACACACAACTAAGATGTCACGTGATTTCAAACTTGAGACGTATGGTTTGTAAATCTAGGCCATTTTCCACATTCTTTTTAAAAAAATGAAAATTAAATAATTTTAAACAACACATTCTTCTAAAAATATAAATTATGAATTTGGGTATGAAAATTAATTTTTTAGTGTGAATACAAAACCCATTATTTTCTGCTGGCTCCATTGAACTTGAAGTAAATCATATCTGCTTCTAGCAAAAAGTAGGCATTAAATATGAAAAGGAGTACATTGGTCACCCACCAACAGGCTCAAATAAAATGACCCAAAACTCCTATCAACTTTTTTTTAAAATCTGATGCATTCAATATTTCAATGCATATTTCAATGCAGTTCAGTTTGATTATAACTTACAAGAGCATAAAATGAAAAACTAGGGTGCATCCCCAACCAGCTTCAACTTCTCCCCATCTGATTCATGGGTTCATTCTTTCTGGGTCACGGCTACTTCTAAAGAAATTTGCTGCTGGTTCTTCTCCCAATTTGTTATGGGGGGTAGAAAGAGAAGAAATCAGGTACTAAGCTTAACATCTCCTGTTCTTTAAACAACTGGTATGAGAACCTCAACATCAGCATGGATAGCAGGGAGTGGACATGGTTAATGAAATTGTATAAGACGGGCTGATACAACAAGTCACTTTCCTCTCCAAACACCACAAACTGCCTTCACATTAGCAATTTAGTAGCGGCGGAGATCTACGCCTAGCTACATCTCTTAAGTGCTCCTATGAGTTCTTTCTGAACTGTGACCTCCTGAAAACAAGTAGCAGATCTTCAAGGACAAAGTTTAAATAAAGCTCTGGAAATAGTTTCTTGAGAAACATTTGGAATAAAAAATTACCAAAAAAAACACACTAACCAGCAGATCTTGTATCTCTACATTGAACAGCTACATGTTCGAAAAACTCTTTTGAGGCATCTGCAGATTCACCACAAACCTAGATGTAAGACATGATAATATAATTGAACCAAGCAAAGACTAATCTTAATTTTAAAAAACAAGATGACCAGAGGAGGACATTCAACCCATGGTACTATAGAATGTGAAGTAGCCTGCCTGTAGCATATAACTTTACTTCAATCCCTAATGGATATGTGATTTCCTTACAACTTTCTGGCCTTCATCTCAATATCCTAGTTCTAAATCAAATGGATAAAACAAATGCAAGACCTCAGCGGAATGAGAACATTTTTTATTTGTAGGCCCTGCTCATATGACATACCATGCTTCATTGTTAACGAAGGATCTTTTTCATCTACATATCCAATCACCTTTGCTGGTATTCCCGCCACCATGCTTGAGAACCAGAGAAAGAAACGTCACTTTCCTAAGAGTAAATATTAAATATTCAAGAATCATTACTATACTGAAAATCAGCTACCTGCGTGGAGGGACATCTTTCAGCACAAGGGAACCAGCAGCTATCATTGCTCCTTGACCTATTTTTATATTCCCGAGTATTGTTGCACTGGCTCCAATTAGTGCACCATCACCTACTTTTGGGTGACGATCACCAATTTCCTTCCCAGTTCCCCCCAAAGTTACACCCTGTCAATAAAGTGCAGGACACATAGTTCTTTGTCATCAACAATTACTTATCAGCACAACAGAAGTGAACCCATGAGTTGATACAAAAAAGAATTATTAAATGAACTTACATGCATCAATGAAACTCTGTTTCCTACAACAGCAGTTTCGCCAATAACCACACCTGTACCATGATCCAGCAGTATTCCCTCTCCAATTTTTGCAGCTTTAGAAAAACCATCAAAGAGAAATTATATTAAATGTTAGTTTTACATTATAGCCAGAGGTCCTTCCCTATCTCCTATAGACACAAATTCTACAGAGAGCAACGGTTTCAACAAACAAATCAAGTGTTGTACATAAATCTTCAATTACTCTAGATTTGACCAAACCTTTCACTTGCTTGAACATGTTGTTCTTTGTTCTATAAGCAAGTGCTAAAAACAATAAAAGAATTGACATGTTTATTTACTTGCTTGAATTATTTTTTATCATTTGGATTAAATTATGCTAATGAATGACACAATGGCGAGTGATCCAGTGATACTATATGTCAATGAGAAACACAATCTTTCGTGTTGGGAGGACTATGTCAGAAGATTTCCAAAATCACATCGATTATATGTTTAAAAGATTCCACCATTTTTCTTATCAAACTCAATATTATCATGTCTACCGATAGCGGAGCAGAAATGAAAATACCTGGGTGAATGTCCACTCCAAAGACCTAGGAAAGCATGGTTATAAAATTAGAAGGAGAACAGAAAAACCACAAACCTATAAAACAGGTAGTAATGGTCATCGAGGATCAACTGAAAAGGAAAATACCTCACTAATTCGGCTTTGTAATGCCAAGGCCAAAACCTTGCGTCCTTTACTCCACAACGAATGAGCTACTCGATGCACTTGCAAAGAATGGTAACCCTGCAAAAGTAAAGTCACAACATCACTTATGCACACTTGTATATCTATAACAAGAGAGTGAAAGAAAACTGATAAGGAAATTAAGAGCAGGGGAAGAGCAGAACACCTTAAGATACAATAGGGCAGAACAATAAGACAAGCAAGCTGGATCACGGTCTTTAAATGCCTGAGGAAACAAGTTCAAAACAATAGAACAAAGTTTCCATCAGTTACGAAGCATAAACAAAGTCAGCCACTATATTTTCAACACAAACTTTAAGTTACCTGCACGTCTAAGCGAACAGATCTTTGAATATCTCTATCATGCATCATCACATCATAAAATATATCCATCAGCTGGGTTGCCAAAAGAGTCGGGTTTTGCAGTCTATTGGCAAGAACAAAGCCCAACGCCTGCTCTAAACAATCATGCGCCAAGATGCTCGCGTACAAGAAGCTACTCAAAATAGGCTCCTTTTCTGCCTGCAGTGTCAAAAACCATCAAAATAATGAGCCTCTGTAAAACCCACGAAAGAAAAAGATCGATGGGATTGCTGTTAATAATTGCAGCAAATTTTGTTGCCTAATATAACTTAAAGCTTCATCCTTTCTCACTTGCAAAACTTCCCGGACTTTTTCATTACCAAAAAAACACTTATTCTGGTTGCTAAAAACAACTATTTTCGACCATTTAACAAAAACTTTTAAATTTTAAAAATAATAATAATATTCAGAGCACCAAACTTCAACTAACTAAAGAACCAGAAATCCCTCGTTAAGAAATTGCATTGTACCTCCAACTTGGCCTCTTCCCTGACGGCATCCCATATCGGGTCGCCCGAAAAGGAAGCCGGGTTAGCCGGGTCGGAGTCGGGTTTCGGAATCCCCAATGCGTACACAGGGAAAACCTTCTCTAACCGGTATGCGGTGGACTCGGACCCGAAAAAGCTGGGCTGCTCGTCGTCGTGGCGGTCTTCTTCTCTCAGAGCCAAGCGTTCCGAGAGCATTTTGGGGAGCGCGACCCAGCTCTCATCACTGACACAGGCCATGAGAGGTTGAAAATGAAGCTTCGCTAGCTAGGGATTTACTGAATCACAATCACTCGATTGGGAAAGAGAGCCTCATAAATAACGAGAAGCAGAGGAGAGAGAGAGAGAGAGAGAGAGAGAGAGAGAGAGAGAGAGAGAAAAGGCGGTGGTGGTGGTATGGGTTCCTGTGTGTCGCAGAGTGTGGCTTTGGTGTGGTGGAGGTGACGAAACTGCTGCGTTTCGCTTCGCGTTTTTTCCCTTTTTTTCCAATATTTTTGGCGTGAAAACTGTCGTGGCTGGGATGAAGATAGAGACGCGGCTGCGACTCTGCGAGCGATTTTGATAATTGTGATTTTCTTCGAATGGATGGTTCATATCATGAGTTGGGTTTTCTTCTCCTTTTTAAAAGCCTTTGGTTCTGATTTTGGTACGCTTTTTGCTGTTTCGTCTTTTTGCTTGCGTAAAAATTCGTGTAATTATTATTATTATTTGTTATTATTGCTCAGGTTTATTTTATGTCATGATTAATTAAATGTTTTGGAAATGGAACAATGTTGTGTCACCCTTTTGTTTATGATAAAGCTGGTATTTTGAATATTTCACCATTCTCTATCTTTTGCTTTATATATATAGATTATCTATTATGTCATTATTATTTTAGGATGTGGGATTATATTTTAGACAATACCATTAATATTAGCGAATCAGAGGTTGAATATGATGATAAATTAAGTTAATGCATCTTTCAGTGCGTTGGAAATGACTCACACTTGAGGAGAATTATATTATTCTAATAATTTATTTATTTTAATTGATGAAGAATTATAATATTCATCAATATAAGTTCGAACAAAAAAGAAGATTATTCATAATAGATTCCTATTAAGTGTAGAAGTATTTTTGTAATCCATATGTTAACATCATGGTCATGAATAAACATAGTGAATCCACTTTTCCTTTTAGCAGATAAGAGTCAACGTCCCATATTAATGAGCAAAATCTCATATTATACGAAAGGGAATAGCTTCTAGTTAATTGTTGTGTGACAGATTATATTATGTAAAGCTTTTTCTTATCATGAGCAAATTGTGTTAGTAATCTAGCCGCAAATGGCCAATACAAATACAAGGGTTATATGAATAACATCAAGACAATAAGGTGTTTCTCCAACTAAGTGGGGCTTGGATAAACCAAGCATCGATAACATAAAAGCAACATTAAAGCTAAACTCTTCAAAGTCATCGATTTGACGATGTGACTTTAACTTCAAGATAAACGAAAACCCAATAAGGGAAAGACTCACTAAGACGAATAGGATGATGCGGAAGATTCATTGAAACGATGACATGATTGAACTTCGAGGCAAACAAAAACCCAATAAGAGAAGAGCTCATTGAGAGGAATAAAATGACGAATTTTTGACTGAAATCAGCAACTACAATAAGTCAATGAGCAATTACCCTTGTCAACATATAGTTAAAAGTAGCTTAGCCAAGTAGGAGCAATTCATTCTAACGTACACCAATTTTTTGTTGGAAATTTTATCAACTTACTTCTTCAAGGATTTTCTAACTTTAAGTATTAAAAGTTGAATACCACATATGCGTCGCTTCCATATTACTCTTTCATTTGTAGGATTGCTAAAATTATTTTAGTGACTATAATTTGGAGAAATAATACGAGTTTACATTTAGTTTAAGAAAATTTAACTATTTTGTAAACCAAAAATACTTCTAACAACGTTTGGTAGAAACGTTCCTAAATGGTATGTAAACTCATGGAGCTAACTCGAGTATGAGTTATACTTAAGTCGATCGCTCTCAACCCACTTAGTTAACCTAATTGACTTGCAGCCCTTTTTAATTAGGACAAGCTACTTGCTGATCATGCTAATGCAATTAGGAAGACATCGCAAGATCCTGTTAAGTGTACGTTTACTGCTTCAATAGTGGAAGATTTGAGAGGGGGGTCATATGTATATTGTCTCTATCTTATGTCTTATTTGATCAACAATGCTTTTCTAAAAATCGATTGAGGTCGGTCAAACAACTTAAGACAAAATACGTCAAACACCCGATGGGACATGCATGTTATCCCAACGTAGTGTGATTAGACATCTCCAATTGCAGACATGGTGTTATGATTTTTTTTATCTTATGTTTAAAATTTATTTTGGAATAGCGATTCGCACAATTTGTATAAATTTAGGGTAATGATTTTCCCACTTTAATTTTATATACTTACACATTTTTTTTAGTTATAAAATAGAGTGTAAGTAGATAAAATTGGAGTGGGGAAATCACCACTCTAAATTTATTATGTTTTATTAGGTTATAAATTAATCACAACTCGATATATTGTATTCGCATTCTGTAAAAATATTAAGATTAGTACAAATTTTTGGAAGGCACACAAATTTATTAAACCCTTTGATTATTACTTGTATGAAAAATCCATCCCAACCAGTTAACCAAAGAAGCGTAATGAAATTTGAACATCAAAATTGGCATGTGATACATTTGCTGCTAATGTATCATCTATGTAGATATAAACGATGCCTGCGTTCAGTGTATTTCGATCAAAATGATAGCGGGTACCACCACAAAATTCGTGAAGATGGAGTTTTGTCTTCCTAATTATAAATTAAGGGGCTAATCAATCTCTTAATAATCATAACCAGACTTGCTGTCGCCTCATGATTTGTGCTCCATCCAAAATGAGCACCGCCGCAAGTGTGCATAGATAAAGTTGTGTCCTCCTTCGCCGCAGAGGCTGCTGAAGCCGACATAGGAGGTGAGGGACGTGCAAGTGAGTTACTTTACTAGTGTTACTGTAGGCACGTGAAATGAAAAAAGCCACCCGTATGATATGAGGATTGGATTGGGACATTTGAGATTGAATATAGTCATGTACACGGCCAGGGACATTCCTCCATTCATTTTTGTATGCCCTTTCTCTTCCCTTTCAATCCCAACCATATTATATTACTAATCATTGCTCTTCCAAGCATTCAGAATTTTATTCAGACATTGGTATTTTAATATTTATTATTATTATTATTATAAGAGGACAATGGCATCTTTGGCATCTGGGATTCATTATAATAATATTAATTATTATATTATTGTAAGTGGACAAATATTGTAGATTTCTATGACCAAGAAGAAACTCAACCAGAGCTTGACCAAAATAGAACATAGGCAATGGTCCTGCCTCAATATCATCAAGCTTCAATTTAATATTTAAAACAAAAGTGAACTGCATAGCTTTCATTAAAAAAAAACACTACTTTTACAGGTATATATAATATATGTAATGATTGGGGGTAGTTGTGAGCAATTCTATGGTGCAAATTTGTAGAGCCATCTAGTAAATATGATGAAATTTGTAAGGTTTACATCTCACGTGTTAAGGAATTTTGTACGCGTGTTTATAAAGAGTCGAGTTACTTTTTTATTGTCAATTAATTTTGAAAAGAAAACTTAGCTTTCTTCAAAATCTAACTCGCATCTAGTGAAATCATAATCGTTTTTATATCTATCTTTGTCATTTAAACTAACGCGAAGACTTTGTAATCTTTGAAATTCAACGGACTTATTTGTCCATACTACAATATAAATTTGTTCACCTCTAAATCTGTTTGTATGACATGGAAACCCGCGCCCTGCTTAACATATTAAGAAGCTTTTAATTGGAATGTCTTTATGTTTATTAATCTCGTTGATCTTCTTTTTTGTTGGTCAAACAAATAATCTCCGGAAAAATGGCGCCTTTTTCCCGCGCACTGCTCTGCCGCTGCTTTTTTCTCATTGTGGGCTCTGCATGCGGTCCAACCGTTCCCCACCGGGGCCCACCATTCATAGAGCCCTGGACGGTCCTTACTATTTCTGGCCCACCAAGCTTTTTATCACTTTCACTCAAACAATAAAAAATAAAAAGTAAATGTTCTTGAGAATCTTCACATTCCAGTCAGTCACTCTCTCTCTCTCTCTTCTGATTCGGCGTCTTTTCCCCACAAATGGCTTCTCGGATCGCATAAGCATAAACATAAACATCAATTCACTGGTCCCGCAAACAAGCCCTACTCTCCCGAAAAGTCCAAAATCCCAATCGGACCTTAACCGCCATGGCCCGAAGATCCGTACCCATCCTCCGCCACCTTCTCACCAAACCAACCACCCCGACCCTCGCCCCCGCCAACCCGACACGATCCGTCACCTACATGCCCCGACCCGGCGACGGCACCCCCCGCGCCGTAACCCTAATCCCCGGCGACGGTATTGGCCCCTTGGTGACCAACGCCGTCGAGCAGGTAATGGACGCGATGCACGCTCCGGTGTACTTCGAGACCTTCGAGGTCCACGGCGACATGCCGAAGGTTCCAGACGAGGTGATCGAGTCGATCAAGAAGAACAAGGTGTGCTTGAAGGGAGGGCTCGCGACGCCCATGGGCGGCGGCGTGAGCTCGCTCAATTTGCAGCTGAGGAGAGAGCTCGATCTCTACGCTTCGCTCGTCAACTGCTTCAATCTGCCGGGCCTCGTCACCAAGCATGAGAACGTCGACATTGTTGTTATTAGGGAGAATACGGAGGGCGAGTACTCGGGGCTCGAGCATGAGGTTGTTCCTGGCGTCGTTGAAAGCCTTAAGGTATATCAATCAAATTCTGTTTGGGTTTTTAGATTTCTTAATGTTAGAATAATACTGTTTGGGTTTTTGTTGTTATTTGGTTTATTGTTTGATTATTGATTGGATTTTGTCGTTTTCTAGTTTAATCATGTGGAATTGAATTTGTTTAAGGTTAAGTATAGGGTAATCATATTCAGTACATGGTAATTAACTATGTTTAGCATTCTGATTGCATTTATTGAAAAAAGTGAGAATGCTTAATATAATGTGACACATGACACATGTTTAGCAATGGTCCTATGGCAGTGACTGAAATTACTCTCTCTTATAATTCATTGTTAAGATTGCACTGACTGACCTATGAGGTCCCACACTATGGGAACCATTGCATGTGACTGTTGTATATGACCTCCCTCTGTTCAACATGTACGTGGGACCCACTTTTAGATGGCACTGGGAGAGTGAGGCCATACGTGAGGATCACACGCAAAATATTCTCGAATGCATGGAAGATTCTGATATGTTCATTGCAGGAAATGTTTGTTCTTCAATTGCAAGTGATGTAGTCCCATTTTGTGTTGCGCTGTTGAAGTTTTTGGTGCTGTTAAGTGGTTGTCTGTTGATTGAGTTTGTGATATTTTAGTGTTCAATCTATAGAAAATGATCTAGTAATTGTAGCAGGAATATCACTTTGTTTCATGGGTTTCTTTTTCTGCTTATAAACTTTTCCCTTACATTTCTTGCAATTTGAAGGAATGTTTCCTGTTATCTTCTACATATTGCATAGTGTTGGGGATATTTTTGTCACTTATACTTACTCTTTTGCTAGGTGATCACAAAGTTCTGTTCAGAGCGCATTGCTAAATATGCTTTTGAGTACGCTTACCTAAACAACAGAAAGAAGGTGACTGCTGTGCACAAAGCAAACATTATGAAGCTTGGAGATGGCCTATTCTTAGAGTCTTGTCGTGAGGTGGCCACAAAGTATCCTGGGATTGACTACAAGGAAATAATTGTGGACAACTGCTGCATGCAACTTGTTTCGAAGCCTGAGCAATTTGATGTCATGGTATGCCAATTACATTCAGTGAATCTGGTCGTTATAAGCAAATTGTTTGTTTATTATTAGAAAAATGGAACCCCACATGGTAAAGATAGGCTATTACTGTACATATTGGATAAAGAAAAGTATGTTGCATCTCTTTCCATTATTGTGTGGGACAGTAGGACTGGACCTTCTATTGGTTGAGCATTTTTGAGCAGCCTAGGATGCCTCAGAAATGATGAGGCATCTCTTATGAGGGTTAGAAGATTCCTGAATCTTTGATTCTGTCAGATAAAAAACTATAGATTACCATGAATATTTCCTTGGTTAGGAAGTTAAATCCTTTTTGCTGCAATCTTTCTGTTAAGCAAAACCTGATTGTGTTGGAGCATTGTACCTTCTAGATTCTTGGGAAAAAATTATGAATGTTTTGAATTGTAGAAAGTAGGGGAGTTTGAGGAGATGAGTAAAATTAAAACTAGTGCAGTGTGAGTTTTCTTTCTCATCTTGAAAGATTGTTGCTTTTAACAATTCTAGTGGGTCGAACTATCTCAGTTTTTTGTTTCTATTTTATAAATCAAAGAGGCAAAGTGAGTTTTGTAGCTGAAGCAGGCGGATTTACATTTTGCAGGTGACACCAAATCTTTATGGTAATCTAGTTGCAAATACAGCAGCTGGTATTGCTGGAGGCACTGGTGTCATGCCAGGAGGTATATCAATTCAACTGTTTGATTTATATTCCATTCACGGTCTTCTTTATAATACTGTCAACAATGCCCCTTTCAAATGAAAAATCATAGGTAAAAAGAAACCTGATCCATGTTTGAACAATGTGTTTCTTGTTGGAAATTAACAATGATGGTTCTGGTCTTTTGCCTGCAGGCAATGTTGGGGCTGATCATGCTATTTTCGAGCAAGGCGCTTCTGCAGGGAACGTGGGAAATCAGAAAATATTGGAGAAAAAGAAAGCGAACCCAGTGGCCCTGCTTCTCTCATCCGCCATGATGTTGAGACATCTGCAGTTTCCTTCCTTTGCTGATCGACTAGAAACTGCCGTGGCGCGAGTAATATTAGAGGGTAAATGCAGGACAAAAGACCTCGGAGGACAAAGCACCACGCAAGAGGTTGTTGATGGAGTCATTGCTGCCTTAGAATGACAGAGAAGAGAAGGTATTCTTGAGCTACTACTGTTCATCCCATAGAATTTTTGGATTTGGCAAGGGGGGAGTGTTTATCCGCCAGAAATTTTCCAAATTTTTTTAACGTAATTCTTTGATTGCCTCCAGATATTATTCACAAATTTTGTTTCATAATAATTCTCAAAGATGAACAACACTGATCTGGTGTTTTTTTTGATACAAAATCCTGATCAAGTTTATGCTCATTCCTATTCTGTTCATAAACTATGGACCTTTTTAGATTGGGGTTCAATTGAATTCATCATGAACCAGGAACAAAGGCTTTGATTTTGAACTTGTGCATACGCAGTCACAGCATCAATTTTTGAGTTTATAGAGAAGGGTTTCTGCAATGGGCTGGGTTGTAGTTGATATTTGGCCAAGTTTACGCCTGGGAATTTTTGATGAGGAGGCCAAAATGGGGCTGGGCTATAGTTGGACAATGGGCTCTTGTTGTTGGGTTCACTAGGCTTGCTACATTAAGTGTACGGGTAAGGTGCTGGGCTAATAAACATTTTGAAGTCATGGGGCCAATAAAATAAAAGAAAATTGGCCTAACATTAAAACGTCCAACTGGTTCTCATAGCATAGCAATAGTGCAATAATTGTTATTATTTATTTCTTTATTGAGAAAATGTAGTGATAAGATTGACTTCTATATCTAAAAAAGCATGGATTTTTTGTATGCCCATATATCACAATAATATTCCAAGCCTGTCACCCACTCTTATGTTGCAAAGTTAAAACACATGATAATGAGTATAAGTTTAAAATACATGCACGGTGACATTTTCGTTACATCCAAATTTTTTTCCAAACGAACCCATATTATATTATATGATCAAAGTCCATTTATATTTTTTTTTTGGTTACATTGGAGGAAAGAAACCCCACTGGGGTTCGATCCTGGGTGCCATGGGGGGAAGGGGGAATCCACCACCACTGTGGTGGGAACCCATTGGCCAAAGTCCATTTATATTGCCAAGTTATTTATAACTCCTTTCCATTGAAAATAACCATATCCCCTGTCCATTAGCCAAATCCGCCCAAGCAGTCTTTGTCAGCTATCTAGAGACTTCTTCATTTATTGCTTAGGAAAACTACTTTTAACTTGAAATCCAAAGCACACGTCTTTTTTTTTTTTGGGTTGAACAAGGGAGGGGTAAGAACCCCAACAACCAAAGAAACTAAACAACATAAATCATGAGGTTTAGACAACTCCAGCAGGTCATCCACCAACACAGAGTCAAGCCAATCAAAAGCACACGTCTTTTGCAACATGATAAGGTTCTCTTATAAAACAAAAAAAACAAAAAAACAATCAAACAATATAAAATATAAATCCTCATCTAAAGTATTGATTAAGGGTGCATCCACCTAACTTACACAATCCAATGAATGAGTCAAATTAATTTTTACTATAATAGAATAGGGTGAATTCGTGTAAGATGAATCAAAATTAATCTATACCATAACAGAATAGGGTGAATCCATTATGCTTACACGATCCAATAAATCGAATTAACCTATATCATAATAGAATATGAATGTATCCATCCATCTAATTAGGGATGGCAATATTTCACACGTCTTAGGGTCTTTGCGGGGCTTCGACTCTAATGGGTCGGATATGAAGGATAGAAAGCGGGTATGGGGAAATTTTTGGGTATGGTCTTCGGAGTGGGGTGAAGATGGTATTTTGATCCCCAACCTGAACCTGCCCCTGTTTAGAATATATATGTATATATTATTTATTTTTCATATGAATATTTTTCTAAGTGACATTTAACTTTGTCCACAATTCTCACCAAATTTTATGTTATAGATATTACATTATATATTAAATTCAATAACATAAAAACTGTAAGTCTAAAACAAAACTTTTGTCTAACTTTTGTTATTTTTTTCTTATTCATCTTTTTTTATTGATATTTTTGTAATGGGGCGAGGCGGGGGATTCGTTTCCCAATGAAGGTTGGGATGGGGAATTCCCGATTTCAATATTATGGGTATGGAGGCGGGGATAGTGAAAGAAAACTTAACGGGGATGAGAATGGGAATGGCATACCCATCCCCAATTCGCCTGATTGCCATCCCTACATCTAAGGGCTACAATAATGTTGTTACTAAATCTAATGTTGCCTTGCCTAATGCCAGTCTAGCAAAATAAACATTGTTACCATAAGTGGTAAGATTAGCATGGCGACTAACATGAAATTTACCCCTTGTAGTTATCTTGTCAGTGCAGCTGCCAACCTAGGAATCGGTAATGACAAACCACTTCTTCTGACCAACTAATGTACTTGTAGACAATCCAATTATCCAATATTCATAGAGGCACAGGATTTTCAGAAATCTCTTTGTCATCTCCGTCAAGACCATGAACCACTTGGTCAAGAACTCGTCGACTCGCTTGGCTTCTGCTATCAGTCGTTATCATTTTCGTCCTGCTGTTGCTCATTATCTTCGTTTCTGCTCTCACTTCTCTGGGAATAATTTTGAGCCAGAGTCATGGAAATCAATGGAGGGCCTTGTTCGGTGCCCAGCTAACCATGTTCCTTTATCTCCAATAGTGTTCTTGGAGCGAGCTGCAAAGGCCTACACAGACAGGACCTCACTGGTCTATGGATGTCTGAAATATACCTGGGCTCAAACTCATGAACGCTGTCTGAAACTAGCTTCTGCTTTAACCCAGTTGGGAATTTCCCCTGGTGATGTGGTGAGTTGGTTTTTTTTTTTCCTTCATGTTTTTATTGGCTTCTTTAATTCACTGCTTTCTGTGCTGCTTAATTGTTTCTTGTTTCTTCAGTTTTTCCCATTTCAGAATATCATGTTTTCTTGACAGATACCTCAAAATCATACTTCAAATTTTGAATTAATTTGCTCATCTATTATGTTAAATTATTAGTCAAAGAAGTTGCGGATGAAGCCTGTTTTCATGTTTGAGCATTTCCATTGTTGAACCAGGTTGCAACCTTGGCTCCCAATGTCCCAGCCATGTATGAGCTGCATTTTGCAGTTCCAATGGCGGGGGCAGTTCTTTGTACACTAAATGCACGCCTTGATTCAGCTATGATATCTGTCCTGCTCAGTCATTCTGAGGCGAAAATCGTCTTTGTAGACTACCAGTTACTTGAAATTGCCCAAGGAGCAATTGATCTTCTCACCCCAAAAACAGATACAAAACCACCTTTTCTTGTTTTAATTGCTGACTCTGATGGGTCATCTAGCACATCTCCCACCATATGCACTTCAAACACCTATGAATATGAAAGTCTTCTGGAAACTGGAAATTGTGGATTTGAGATAAGAAGGCCAAGGAGTGAATGGGATCCTATCAGTGTCAATTATACCTCCGGCACAACATCCAGGCCGAAAGGGGTTGTTTACAGTCACCGGGGCGCTTATCTTAATGCATTGTCTACGGTTCTGCTTCATGGAATAGGCTCAATGCCTGTTTATCTATGGACTGTGCCTATGTTTCACTGCAATGGGTGGTGCCTCACTTGGGGGGTGGCTGCTCAGGGTGGCACTAACATATGCCTCAGAAAAGTCAATCCAAAATATATATTTGACAACATAGTTCAATACAATGTGACACACATGGGAGGGGCACCAACTGTCTTGAACATGATTGTTAATTCACCGGTCAGTGACCAGAGGCCACTTCCTCGCAAGGTGGAAATAATGACGGGTGGTTCACCACCCCCGCCACAGATCCTTTTCAAGATGGAAGAACTGGGGTTTGGAGTAAATCACTTGTATGGTCTAACAGAAACTTATGGTCCAGGGACTTATTGCTCATGGAAACCAGAGTGGGATTCTCTGCCTTCCAATGAAAGATCAAAGCTTAAAGCTCGACAAGGGGTGCAGCATCTTGGTTTAGAAGAGGTTGACATAAAAGATCCTGTCACTATGGAAAGTGTAACCCCTGATGGTAAAACAGTGGGTGAGATTATGTTCAGGGGAAACACTGTCATGAGCGGTTATCTTAAAGACTTGAAAGCAACAAAGGAAGCTTTTAGAGGTGGATGGTTTCGAAGTGGGGATCTAGCTGTGAAACATCCCGATAACTACATCGAAGTGAAGGACCGGTTGAAAGATATAATCATATCTGGGGGAGAGAACATAAGTACAGTTGAGGTGGAAACAGTTTTTTTTAGCCATCCAGCAGTTCTTGAGGCTGCAGTTGTTGCACGCCCAGATAACCATTGGGGGCAGACTCCTTGTGCATTTGTGAAATTGAAGGAGGGATTTGATCATCTCAAAGCTCAAGACCTAATCGAATTCTGCCGGGATAACTTGCCTCATTATATGGCTCCCCGGACAGTAATTTTCGATGATATACCAAAAACTGCAACTGGAAAGATACAGAAATTTATTCTCAGAGAAAGAGCAAAGGCCTTGGGGAGCCTCTCTTGAACAAGCTGTAACAAGTGGAAGGTAACTTGTTGGCTCCTTATATTATAAGCAAGGCAAAAATTAAATATACCAAGTTATACCATTGCATCTATCTATGCTTAAGGTTCTCTAATGAAGCTACACTAGCATTGCATTTTTGTTGCAAATTATATCGAAAAACAGGAAATTGTACACACTATAGCTCATGTAGTGGGATGTGCATGATGTTGATGGAGATCGAGGCAGAGAATGTAGGGATAATTGGATTAAGCTAGTTGATGGTACCAATTATTATTTAAATGTAAGTCAATTAACCTAGTTAAATGGCAAAAAAAAAAAAAAAAAAAAGGAGTAACAAAGTTAAAGACTGCAAACGATGATAGTTTTAAGAGCTGTGGTAGGAATCTTGAAGATTTAATGAAACATAATGATGTTTATGCCTCTCTCTCCTTTGAGCCGTCGCCTCCTAGGTTTTCGCCATGTTTTATATCAATTATAGTACTTTATAATTTATATATCCTTTTATTTTGCATGATTTTGGTATAAATTAATAATACAAAATAATTATAAAAGAAGGAAACGCCTAGGCACCTGCCTAAGCCCTGATTACTCTTCTAGGCGCTAGGCCCCTGCCTGCGGCCCGCCTACCTCCTAGCCATTTTTCGAACATTGCTGCTACTAATATATATACATGGCATCATGTGCAGTGCAGGATATGGGCGGGCAGATGGCTATTGAACATCAGTTATCTGCTGAAGCAGGCTCCAAATTCAAATTGAAATCTTCTTTCTAGAGTACAGAAATG